TCAGTTTTTATCAACTATTTCAGATTTTTGGTGCTGAAAGCGGATGCAGATCATCGTAGGTACAGACAACTTACAAACAGCAGGTACCATTATTTTGCATGGAATATTTGGTGTTTTATATTGTAGGCCTGTAATTTTTAGGAATAACTCACTGAAATCTGTCCGAACAAGAGTCTAGTAAACATTCGGGTAGGATAAAATTTGAAACACGAAAATCATTCTTCATAATCCAGTTATTTAAATTATAATCATAACTGCTTTTCTTTTAAAAATATATAACAATACATTTAATTCAATAATATATTCAAACCAATCGTCTCCCAAAAACACTGAAATTTGTGAGAGAAATATAGCGCCAAGTTCGCACATCACTGAACAAAGTCGCAAAATCGTTTTCAGTGTCTGATGACGAACTTCCCCATGAATCATTATCACTCAATTCTGCAAGTGGTTCTAATTTACTATCGCTGTTCTCTAGCCGGTCTAAAAACCGCACGCTTTGACCTAAAGGGACGCTTTTTGGACGCCATGGACTTTTCTAAGTTTCCAGGCAGCAAGAACAGTCAAAATGCAGGCAGGGCACAGGACAAAGCACTAGGGATGAACCTCTGTTCTTCAGAGTGTAGTCTTTAAAGGGGTTGAATAATTGTGCAATGGAAAACCACCGATAAGAACCCTTTACTACTGTAATTACATAAACAATTGATGTCATTTTAGTTGCATTTGGGTTAGATTACAACGTCCTTGTAGGATTAGAATTCTGAATACAAGTTCAAATGTACACTATTAGTCCCTAAACCCCCTTTACAGCATTTGGGGGTTGAATAATGTATGTGAAATGGTTTGAAATAGTAATGTTTTACTATGTCATTTTCGTTTATTAGACAAAAAATGACAGTTTTTTAAAATGTTTTTTAAATTTGCCGCCGGGTCCAGCCCCCGTATGTCCTGACGCTCGCAGGGACCGGAACACTGAAGCCGGATGCCGGCATCAGCCAGAGGAGATGGCCGGGGGCGCTGCAGGGGGACACATCGCGGGAGCGAAGGACAAGGTAAGAGCTGCAGGGAATCCCTGAGCAACACCGCATGGTAAGCCCGAGTGTAGCTCAGGGATACTGCTTTTGGTACTGAAACTTTACCCCGAGCTACACTGGGAATACCGCCAGGGAGGTTAAAGCATCCCAAATTACTATTACATTTATAAAGGTTTGTATATTACCAGTAGAAAATGAATTGTAGGACTATAAAGAGAACCTGTACTTGATCCATTCAAGGGGAAGTAAAAGGTATGCTTTCAAGCACATATTTACCTATAAACACTCTTCCACCACTCTGTTCTCACCTGTTAGAGCCCCCACAAAATGCTGTGCATATTCTGCCTTAAGGCTCATTTATACTTGCTTCAAAATGTGGCATTGGACACGCTTTTTTTTTTTTTTGTAAGCACTCTGAATGCCAATTAAAGCACTTGACACTAAATAAAATGGTAAGCTTACAATACTGATCACATGTTGCGTTTACCACATCCTTATCGCACTATAGCCGAATGACGGAATACAGCGCAGTTGTCCAGTTCTGGGAGGACGTCATATGATGTCCTCCCATAACCCGCCCTCAGTGACACACACCCGGCGATCTCTGTGACCTACGGACACAGATCACATGGTGGTGACGTTATCAGCTGTGTCCAAAAAAGCAGATCACCGAGTAAAAGTTACCGATTATCGGCAGCACTTTCCACACGCTTTCACAGTGTGATGAAAGTATGCCGATATGTTACAGATATGAACAGGAGCCAGGCGCTGTGTTTTGTGACATTATCACCTTGTATGGAGGTGTGTCCAATGGACAATAATAAATAACATCCTGTGGCTTAGGCAGTTCACCGTCCGTAGCATACAGTAGAACCGATTTATCGGCAGCACTTTCCACACGCTTTCACAGTGTGATGAAACTACTGCCGATCCCACAAACCAGCAGCAGTGAGTTTTGTTACAGAGCAGATCTTCGATATGTTAAGGGGGGGGGGGGGGGGGGGGGGGGGGGGGGGGGCAGACACGATCATCAGTGATCTCTGCAGTGCGGCCCATCAATGCCAACCCACCAGTGCCCATCATTGCTGTATATCAGTGCCTACTCATCAATGCAGCCTATCCGTTCCCATCAGTGCAGCCTCATAAACGCACATCAGTGAAGGAGAAAAATTACCTGTCTGCAAAATTGTAGAATAAAAATAAAGAAAAACTTTCTTTTTAAAATTCTTTGCACTTTGTTTATATTGCAAAAAATAAAAAAACACCCAGTGGCAATTAAATACCACCAAAAGAAACCCATTTGTGTGAAAAACATAATAAAAAAATTCATATGGGTACAGTGTTGCATGACTGCGCAATTGTCACTCAAAGTGCGACAGCGCTGAAAGCTGGCCTGGGCAGGAAGGGGGTATAAGTGCCGATAGGCAAGTGGTTAAAAATTATACCCCATGTCGCTGTCTTGTGTTCAAAATGTCTCCAAAGCCTCCATGGAAGTCTATAATAAACCTCACCAACAGTACCTGCAGATTTTGTGGGGTTTTTATTCAGAGTTAGCTTTGCTTTGTTTTGGAGGTATTGCAGATGAGCTATCCCAGGATACGCTGGGAAAACCAACAAGCGAACCGGAAAAATGTTATCAGCAGTCACTTCTGGTTCATGTGTATATACACCATATTGCCAAAAGTATTTGGACACCCCCTCAAAATCATTGGATTCAGTAATCTAATCACCTCCATGGCTATGGGTGTTTAAAATCAAGCACCTAGGCATGCAGACTGCTTCTACAAACATTTGTGAAAGAATGGCTCGCTTTCAGGAGCTCAGTGAATTCAAGCGTGGTACTGCAATAGGTTGCCACCTGTGCAATAAGTCCATCCATGAAATTTTAGGCCACATAAAAATGACAGAGTGGGGGTCAGCACATGCTGAAGCACACAGTGCGCAGGTGTCGCCAACTGTCTGCAGAGTCAATAGCTAAAGACCTCCAAACTTCATGTGGCGTTCAGATTAGCAAAACAGTGTGTAGAGAGCTTCATGGAATGGGTTTCCATGATTGAGCAGCTGCATCCAAGCCTTATATCACCAAGTGCAATGCAAAGTGTTGGACACAGTGTTCACTACGTCACTACTGTACTCTAGAGCAGTGTACATGTGTTCTCTGAAGTGATGAATCACGCTTCTCTGTCTGGCAATCCGATGGACAGGTCTGGGTTTGGCAGTTGCCAGAACGGTATTGCCTGCCTGCATTGTGCCAAGTGCAAAGTTTGGTGGAAGGGGGATTATGGTGTGGGGTTGGGCTTGGCACCTTCGTTCCAGTAAAGGGAATTCTTAAGGCGTCAGCATACCAAGACATTTTGGATAATTTCATGCTCTCAACTTTGTGGGAATAGTTTGGGGATGCCCCCTTCCAACATAACTGAGCACCAGTGCACAAAGCAAGGTCCATAAAGACATGGTATGAGCGAGTTTGGGGTGGAGGAACTTGACTGGACAGCACAGAGTCCTGACCTTAAGCCGATAGAACACCTTTGGGATGAATTAGAGCGGAGACTGTGATCCAGGCCTTCTCGTCCGACATCAGTGCCTGACCTCACAAATGCCCTTCTGGAAGAAAGGTCAAACATTCCCATAGACACACTCTTAAACCTTCAGCGCAGAATAGATGAAGCAGTTATAGCTGCAAAGGGTGGGCCAACTCAATATTGAACCCTAAGGACTAATATGACTGTGCACCAGTGCAAAAAGCAAGGTCCATAAAGACATGGATGAGAGAGTTTGGGGTGGAGGAACTTGACTGGCCTGACCTCAACCTGATAAGACACCTTTGGGATGAATTAGAGCGGAGACTGCGAGCCAGGCCTTCTTGTCCAACATCTGTGCTGGACCTCACAAATGTGCTTCTGGAAGAATGGTCAAACATTCCCATAGACACACTCCTAAACCTTGTAGACAGCCTTCCAAGAAGAGTTAAAGCTGTTATAGCTGCAAAGGGTGGACCAACACAATATTGAATCCTACAGACTAAGACTGGATGCCATTAAAGTTCATGTGAGTGTAAAGACAGGCACGCAATACTTTTGGCAATATAGTGTATTCTGGGAGTATCTGGAGAGCATGGGGCAGCAGGAAGATGAGTGGGGTCCGGACTGGAGGAACTAGCAGGTAGCACATGTGGTTTGCAACATGGGAGCGCTATAGCAAATGAGCAGGGACTGGAAAGAGAAGACTGAGTGGTACAGGATCAGCAGAGCTGGTAGACCAAAGCAGAACAAATTAGCAATGTCACACATGGTGCGGTGTGGGAGCAATATAGAGGGAGGTGAGTGAGGACCAGTGAGAGAGACCAGAGAGAGAGAGATCAGCAGAGCCAGTTAAGTACTGAGAGGAGGATCAGCAGAGCTGGGGGTTACTATTGAATGAGGGATCTGTTGAACGAGGGTACTAATGAGCTGGAGATCTGCTGAGGGGGCAATACTGAGCAGGTTTTCTACTGGACCCCTTTAAAACAAATAGAAAAGTAACACACACACACACCCGCACAGGGCATTTGCCAAGCTTCACAAAAGCATCACAAAAACACTGACTGTGGGGGGCTTTGAATACAAGTCTTTTCTTGCACTTTAAGGTCAAACAGAATTACAAACTATCTGGCAATCCAAACACTTCAACTCAGTGAAAAACTATTTTTCGGTATTGTCTTTATTGTACAAATGCCGATAGGATAGTAACAATCTTCTCATGTCAAAGTAACTTATCTGTAAAACATTTCAACTTACACAGGTCTTGTTTAAAGTGCAAGAACTGTATGGAACCATGCTCAAAAATAAGCATAATGTGCTAGTATCATATCTAGCAATGAGGGCTATTTAGCAACATATTCTAAATCTATTTACTACATACATGAACAATCAGCATTACATTAGCACAATCTGGTAGCAAGAATGCATTTTATCAAGATGGTTTGCTTTATTTTTTACGGCCTCCTCTTTCCTTCAGTGCCAAGTGGATTGTAGCTCCATTCTGCATGTTGTAGTAAGCAAGAGAGTTTGAATCTTTAATAAAGATTCCCTACAGAAAAAAAAAAATGAAAATGTTATTGAAAAGCTTGTAAACTACTACAGTGCTACAAACTTCCATGTACTTTCAAAAGTCAAATACTAAACACAACATACAGAAAACAAAATAAAAGTACTAGCAAGAATGGCAGGTGGCTTTAAAAGAACTCCAGGTTTCCATTCACGCAATAGTTCATTTGGGCCACCTTGGATCAAACAAATTCTATAGTAGAACAGTCTGGCTGCCGGGAAAGCTGTAATAGACTGTAGCTTGTGCTTCATACAGTAAATTGTGCTGCCTTTCTGCAAACGTACAAGTGACTTCCACTCTGCGGCTAGAGAAAGTTGCTTGTACAGCATCTCTGCCATTCAAGGAACAGCCTTTTTTTTGTAATCAATACAAGGCATTCTCTGATTGGGCAAGGTGGAGAGGCATGTGGATGACATCACAATCTCCACCTCATCCAGAGAACGCCAGTTGTATTCAACAAAACAAATACATTACTGTTCCTGAATGGGGGAGATGCCATACAAGCAACTCTTTTGCTGGTAGCACAATGCTTGTACTCGTGTAAGAAAACAACACAGCTTATCATATGCAGCACAAGCTGCTAGTCTATTACAGTGTGCCATTCCTAAAGGCCTTTGCAATACACAGCCTCACAACAGAACAGGAAATATATGTACAAAATCCATCCTGTTCATATCACAGTTAAAAAAAAAAAAAAAAAAAAAAAAAAAAAAAAAGTTATTTTCTGAATGTGAATCTCCCAAAGTACTGTGCATTTGCCATTAATCAGACTCCAGGACCATTTACACATTTCAGCCACATGTCTATTAATTCAACAACATTATTACTTATATAGATATCCATAATAAAACACTTTACTTCTGTATCATATTTTAGAAAACAAGAAAGGAAGTGAACTAAAAATTGAAACAAGTCTTACTATAGATTTAAAGTACTATTCTTTTTCTGCAGTTTCTCTTATGACAATATGATTATTATATAGCGTGGCCCAGAATGGGGAACCAAAAATATCCAAAGGATCCCCAGAACAGGTCCAAAGCGTTATTCAGCGATCGCATCATAGTTACAATGGCAATGTTTTGAAGCCATGCAGGACCCCTTCTATAGGTATGATGAAGGAATGATGAAGAGGCCCTGCAAGACTCAAAACCGTTGCCACTGTAAATACAATGCGATTGCTAAATAAAGCTCTGGTCCCATTCTGGAGATCCTTGGTGTGCTGGTGACACATACTTTTCACTTCTGATGTTAAGGGAGGAGACTCTGAAGGGGACCCCTATGTAAACGAAGACTAATTTATTTACAAAACTAATTTTTTTTCCAACCACCAAAATATCTGTAAAATTAACAATGTGACCCTTGTAATGAAAAGTTTGGAGACTACTACTACTGCTCTAAATGAGTGGGTTCCAGGGACAATTTAGGAAAGTTTAGGATCCACCTCTGAAATGTTTGGATAATTAAAGCAAAGTTGCCAGGCAGAGCCCACACTAACTGTTCCTTAATAGGAGCGTACAAAATGAGGGATGCCACAAGAACGCAGCAAGTCTGGTACTGAGGATAGCATCGTGGTGAATACCTGAAGTACAGCAGAGAAACTGAAGGGCAGGATCCCACAGCAAAAAAACACAGGAAACAAAGATGTGCTGTAAAGATGGGGACAAGCAGGTTCACATTTTTGATGGCTATGACAGATTTGGTGGATTCCATATGGAAATTCTAACTCACAATTAGAACCTGGAGACCCAAGATGGAGCAAATTTCCCTGTAGGGTTTTGGAAAGGTGAACTGTACATTAGAAGGAAAAAAAAATAAAAAAATCTGGCAATTACATCCTGACCCAGAAAACCCAAGAGGGCTCAATGGAGATCTGCTAAATCTAGAAAGTGACAGAAGGGGGAAACAGAGGGGACAGGGAGCAAAACTCCAGGTAACCTAGATTCCATCTCCTCCACCCAAGTGTAAGATGAAAGCTGTCCAAAGCATCCTCAAAAGGGTAATAAATGCCCACCCCCACCTCAGAAAGTGCAAGCACACCTTCCTGCAGAGTAAGGCTCAAAGATTTGATCCTTATTTTTGCATAGCTGGGCCAGGTGCATACTCGCACCCCACATAAACACTGTAATTCATCACATAGCCCTAGATAATGGTTTCCCATGGGAATTAAGCACAACCAGTCTTCTAGCATTTTTGCTCCCCCAACCATCACTTAAGCCAGAGCCTCCTGCGGAATTGAATAGAAGAAAGGGTTACCCAGGACAAAGCTATAATAAAGCATTGTTGCCAGAAACAAAAGATCAATGCTAATCGGTCAACGCGATCAATAGCTTTGTGTAAACACCAGTAGCTGCCAGATCCCTGCATTGCGAGGTTGACCAGTTAGCTAAATTCTGGCAAATGAGTGTGGAGAGGAGTATAGGCTTACTAAAAAGAAAACTAGGCGAAGGTTAGGTCAGCAAGAACCCAACCAAGACACTGTTTCTGAGAAAGATTTAGGCAACTGTGACCAATTCTGCAGAGGATGGTGGTGGTGGGCATTTTAAGTCCTTGCAATCAGGGGAAGCCAACACAGTGTACCAACCAAGTCATAAAACGTGCAAAAAAAATGGGAATTTACTTTCACTGAAACACAGAGGGTCAGAAATGGCCATCAACAAAAGTGGTTCCCACTGGGAACAAAGTGCAAATTGAACACTTTTTCACTACCTAGCTCAACCTTACAGATTTGCAAACTTGTTAAATGATCTGAAAATCTGCAACCGATTTTTCATTAGGTAACAACATACAAATCAACAGCAATTTTTCTGATGAGGTCACTACAAGCAGTTTTCCAGGAGCAGGGGTCATATCTGTTAAGTTGTAAGTTATAGTTATGTAGAACAAGCTGTCATGAGCTAGTTTCACTTACTTACCTTAGCAATTTTTACATACTTGACCATGTCAAAGTACCAGATTATGCCCGACATCCCACTCTATAGTGCCTGTGCTTCCACTGGAAATATTAGCATGCAGCAACCCTTTTTAAATTATTGCTCTTATAAACGTTTAGGAAAGAGGACTGTGGGGGAGATTTACTAAAACTGGAGCACTCAGAATCTGGTGCAGCTGTGCATGGTAGCAAATCAACCCCTAACTTCAGCTTGTTCAATTGAGCTTTGAGAAAAAAAAAATTGGAATATAATGGTTTTCTATGCAGAGCTGCACCAGATTTTGCACTTTCCAGCTTTAGTAAACCTCCACCTGTGTGCGCATGTGAGCAACCCCCTCGCTGTGAATATTTATAGGTGAAAAACGTTGTAAGGAGATTCCCCATTTCCATTTGTTCTGGTGACCAGTCTCCAGAACATGAGGATAAATCAAACATTTTTATGTTTCTGTAGTATATTTGGGATAGGAGGTGAAAAGTAACTTTCCCAATAGAACATAAAAAAAATAAAATAAAAATCCCAAGCAAGAGAACGACTATACCATGTACAAGCTATGGTCCTTTAGTTTGACATTTAGGATGGAATACAAATTTTTCTGTTTCAATACTTACATCGTACTGAAGCTTCTGCTTCCCAGCGGGCATTCCCGTTGCCTCGTGAATTTTAACCTTTATTACAGAGACCTAACAGACACAAAAGAGAAAACTGCTTAAAACTTGCACTTTTGCAGCAAATGGGATGTTATATTCCTACTATACATTATCATTTCTCTACTACTACTACTACTACTACTGAGTGTTACCTGATCGGGGAGGGGAAGGGTGAATGCCAAAATTTGTCCATTTAGCTTCCATTCTGTCTTGTCCTGCATGTTGGGCACTTGTACTTTAACTGTAACTGGACCCTGAGAAAAAACAAAGACTGAGATTCCTTGGAAAAAAAACCCCCCAAAAACCCAAAACACTGTCTCCAAGTAATCAAATTTGTGTTTGGAAAAATAAAACTAACCTTGTTCCGGCGCAAGAACTCTTCCTCTGGAATCAATGTGTCCTCACTCTTCATTTTCTTGGCAGAAGGCTCATCTTCCATTGGTGGTGGTGGATGAGCTGGAGGCAATGGAGCCGGTGCAGGAACAGGTGCAACAGGTGGAGCAGGGACAAATGCTAAAAAAGCAGAAGGCTTTTAAACTAAGTGGTTGTTTGGATCAAATTATGAAAAACGCAAAAAAGAGTCAATAAAATGTTTTATGTGAAATATATTGTGAGTTGCATATCACATGAAGAAACTGATTGGTGAGTAACTATCCCTTGGGATTATACAAAGCTAAAACGTTAAAGATTTGGGTAGTTTAGCATAAAAGATTTCAGTTTTCCATTAAACGATATGTAAAGTTCTGCAGAAAGCAGTTACACCTCACTGCTCCGCTGCAGTTGCCATAGTCAACAACATCCAACTTTCTGATTGAGAGTTTCACTTCACCAAAGAGGTGATCAATCAGCTCTCTCATGTCTGCAAGCTCCTTGTTACATTAAAAACACTGTAGGAAGGGGTGCCTTATCACAATATTTTTGAATAATTCTTCACGTTCAGCCTTCAAGTGTTTAAAATATTTTACTGGCAAATGTTTTGGGTTTAGGCATGCAGTTTACACAACCTAAATATTACCAACATGTCTTCAAAATACTGAATATCTGTAGTGGAAAAAAGTATTCAGTACCTGCTGGAACAATCATGTGCGGGGCTCTCTGTGCCATCATTGGAGGTGGGTTTGGTGGCATTGGTACCACATTTATCCTAGGCGTGTGCAGAATAGGAGGCATTGGAGCAGCTAAAACAGAACCGGGAGGAAGGCGCACCACAGAGGCCATGGGGGGCCTCTGCATCACAGGTACTGCGGATACCATTGTAGTACGGATTGGTGGCGGCATCTGTTAAAAATATTCAGGATTAATAATCTGAATAATGTCACTCATACATAATCTACTCACATAATCTAACATCCCGAGTATACCGGAAAACATTATATGGTTGATACCTGAGAACATTAATATGAATGATTTTCCAGAAGAGGAACATAAAAGGCAACGTTCCCTTCCAATACATTTTTAAAAAGATAAACATGACTATACACTAATTGGTTTCATTCAGCCTGCGGGCAGAACAGATTTCTACATCCACAAAAACAGTGTAGATGGACTACTGCGAGTTGTAATGCCCTAAAAGTGCCTGCAGACAAAAGTCTGTTGAGAAGTTGAGCCAGCAGGGCCACCCACTATTATAATTTTAGCCAATTCCTTGGCCCACATTCTAACAGTGTATGGCCAGCTTAAAGCCTTAATCTTCCTCAGACAGTTTTATCAGACCATATACTTACCACTCCATACAAAGAAGGGGCAGGTAGAGCACAAGCTTCATCAGAATGAGGCTGTGTGATGCATTGTGAAGACCTTAGGGTGGTGGGAGCAACTATTTGCCCTGAAAGAACTGCTGAGGGGAGGGGCATCATGGCACTTTGGTATAGCACCACTTAAGCAAGAGAAAAAAAAAAAAAAAAAAAGAAAAAAAAAAAGGCATACAGGGCAAGTTAGGACACCGCCCTGACTTTTATGCTACCATAGATACATATTTTTTCTGTTCATCATTACTTTTCTACAGCGTGCACACACATGAAAGGGGCTGCCATGTCAAACATCTGCTCTGCCATTAAATGGATTACTAACAGATAAGATGGATAACTAGGCTGGAGAAAATGATAGTGAAGACCCTATCATTTAATATTTATGTAAACACATTCTTATTTATCAAATGAACCACCTGCCCTCCAGAGGATTTACCCCCCTCCCCCCTTCTTGACCAGGCCATTTATTGCGATAAGGCGCTGCGTTAATATAACTGAAAATTGCACGGTCATGCAACGCTGCACCCAAAACAAAATTGATGTCATTTTCTCCCCACAAATAGAGCTTTTTTTGTGGTATTTGATCACATCATTTTTTTAAACTATAAGCAAAAAAAGACCGACAATTAAAAAAAAAAAAAAAAAAAAAAAAACAAACAAAAAACCCCCAAAACAATATTTTTGACTTTTTGCTATAAATCATTCAATAGAAAAAAAAAAAAAAATAATCAAATCTCTTTATAGATTTAGGCCAAAATGTATTCTGCTACATGTCTTTGCTAAGAAAAAAAAAAAAAATCAAATAAGCGTATATTAATTGGTTTAGGTGAAAGTTAGAAAGTCTACAAATGGCGGTATATATACTGGAATTTCTATATCCATCCATCTATCTTTTTATTTTTTAATACTAGTAATGGCAGCGATCAGCCACGACTTATAGCGGGACTGCAACTGACATCACCAGTGACACTAATACAGTGATCAGTGCTAATAAAAGGCACTGACACTACTAATGACATGGGGAAGGAAGGTGTTAATATCTGGGGCAATCAAAGGGTTACCTGCCTGCGTTTCACATTGTGTGCTGTGTTTTAGTAGGGAGTCATGCTGCTTTGCATCTCTCTGCTGTGCAGAGGGATACAAAGAAGCATGTCCATGCTGGCAGGAGAGAGATCTGTGCTGTGTACACACAGATCTCTCCCTTCTCAGCACTGCCGCTGATCAGAGTTCCGGCCGGGACCTGGTGATTGACATCCACAGCAGTCAATACTGACGCGGGTAGAGCGCGCAGGCCCCCTACCCGGAAATGCAAATCACGTATATATAAACACAGGTGATTTTGCGCAGCCGTGCCGCCCTGTAGCAGTACTTCTGCTATAGGGCGGAGGGCAACAAGCTAACATGGAAGCTTATGGAAATGTTAAAGGATAAGGTCACCTTTCTAAAAAATAAATAAATGCACATTTTTCATGGGGGCAATTAATGATTGCTTTTTCATTATTTCTAGTTACCTCAGGGAACATTTCTTCTATCAATTCTCATATAGGAAACCCATTGCCACTCTGGTCACTTTTCGCTTTCCTTTTTTTCTTAGCCTTATTACCCATAGGAAAAATTATCTTTGTTAGCAATTATCCCTGCTATGTCCGCACTCGTCCACTGTTCTAGATTATTGGAATCTACTTATTCATAAAATGAGACTGTCTCATTACCCAGAACTACAAAATCATACATACACACACGATTTTCCGTAGTTCTGCTATAGGGCGGTCGGGAAGCTGTTAAAAAAATAGAAAATGTGGACTATGGTTCCCACCTTGTAAATCTCCATAAAAGAAAAGAAAAACAAAAAACTTACAGACGGTGGCCGGGAAATAGGAGGATTGACCTGCTGATGAATAGACACTGGAGGTGGAGGTCTTGGAGCAGAGGTGATGGGTGCAGGACTGGGGATGGTAGGTGCAGAGGATGGAGGTGGCTGTGTGATTTCGTTGGGCTTGCTAGGTCCAATCTTGTCCTTGCCATCCTCTTCAGGAACCAGACCCTTAGCCTTATGGATGGCCTCAATTTGTTCCTGTAGCGTAATATTGGCCTGTGCAGCTTGTTGGGTACGTGCCATGCTGCCAGAGTGTCCATCCCATGTAACCTGGACATGACAAAAATTATACATATCAATAACCAAGAAATTACCAGTTTTAGTAACTCCTCCTGCATTACTGTATGTTATCCATTGTTTCATCATGCATTCTGAACTGTGTAAATTGGTTTAATGTTTTATCAACAGTTTGTTAAATAAAACATTTAAATACCTTCTCCTCTGGTTTCTGGATCTCCTCCTCTCCAATCTTTTTACCGATAGCCGTTTCTTCAACACCGAAAATATCGGTACGGCGTTCGGCCAACTGCTTCAAGCTGCTTTCAATATCCAAACCTGATGAAGAAAGAATGAATGACAAAATATAAAGCACAAAGTACATCCAAGAAAGGAAAATGACAGAAAAGGGACAAGTGTGGGTATACAATTCTCTTCCTCTTTCACAGCAGGGTAGCATTTTACTGACAGCATTCGTAGTGCTCATAAAAACTAAAATAATTTAAATAAATTTGATAACATTTTGCCAACTGATAAAGGAACTTCAGTTAATGTACTGTGTCTTTCATAAACAGTGCTGCTAAATTCTATTTACCTGGAGCATAAACTTCATCATCGCCTTGCTTCTCTCGGATGGAGCGATCTCTCTGCTCCAACCAACGAGGATCCAAAAGTCCAATTCGCATATGCTCCTGCATCTTGCTGGCAGGAATCTTCTCCCCAGTAATGGGAGATACAAGGTATTCATCAGGTGCAGGAGCAGGTGCTTGTGGTTTAGAAGCTAAGAGAAAAGAAACACATAGTTGTTATGGACTCGGCGCTACAGCACAACACATTTACTACGAGAGAATGGCTACACCAACCTTTTGGATCATAATCTTTACGAACTATCACTTGATCTGGCGTGGGAGGTAAAGGTGGTGGCATTGGTGACTCAGGAGGAAGAGGAGCTTTCTGTGCATAATCTTCATCATCTGAACCCTGTAAAGAGAAAAAAAAACCCCACACATATGTTAAAGGGGAATGTTGGCTACATGGACAAAGGATATAATTCTAAAACTATAGCTATATCACCTCATCCATATCCTGCACTTGAGTATCCTGATCCATTTGAGATGTGCCTTCTTCAGCTTTGCTATCCTTTACGTCCTCTTCCTCATCAGACTCTACTTCCATTTCAACTTCCTCACTTTCACCAAATTTCTCGTATCGCTCTTGGATCAATATGCGGGCACCCAGCTCCTCTGGTGTTGTAGGAGGTGGGAAGTTGCCTGAAACAAAAATACCTTTTTATCAATTCAATGCACAAAAAAAAAAAGAAAAAAAAAAAAAAAAAAAAAGAAAAGAAAGGTGCCATATGCTTTTAAAAAGGGAATGTATAGTTTTGTTTGTTTTTCTTCTTTTAAATAAAATATTCTTTTAAGTTCATAAACAAATGAAAAAGGATATACATTTTTCTCTAAAAACGCATGTTATGTACAGTTAACCGCTTTGCTGCTGCGGGCTAATATACCTGTACATCAGCCCGCATCGGAGGCTCCTGCGTGGCTCACAGAGCACACCCAGGAGCCCCATGATCACTATATCGAGCGGACACAGCAGATCACATTACCGCTCTCTCCGGGTGATTACATGGTGTTGTACCATGTGACTGCTGTGACCAATCACAGCACTCACATTGTAAACGCTGGAAAGTGAAAGTAAAGATCGCTTCTCTTTGCTCTCACTGTGAGAGCAGAGAGAAGCAATCCGGCAGCCTGTGAGTGTACAGCAACCTGTTAGACTGCTAGTACACTCACAAACTGCAGTGCCAGCCGCCCCAGTTTAGTGCCCCTTTGTCTCTGATCACTGCCCCAGAATATCTATAACAAATAATGCAGCCTTCCCGTCATCTTTCCCAGTGAGCACAAAAACACCCTTAATACCCCACGTCAACATCCTGACCACCGCCATACCCCACGTCAGCATTCTGACCACCGCCATACCGCACGTCAGCATCCTGACCACCGCCATACCGCACGTCAGCATCCTGATCACCTCCATACCCCACGTCAGCATCCTGATCACCTCCATACCCGTCAGCATCCTGATCACCTCCATACCCCACGTCAGCATCCTGATCACCTCCATACCCCACGTCAGCATCCTGATCACCTCCATACCCCACGTCAGCATCCTGATCACCTCCATACCCCACGTCAGCATCCTGATCACCTCCATACCCCACGTCAGCATCCTGATCACCTCCATACCCCACGTCAGCATCCTGATTACCCCCATACCAGTGTCCTGATCAACACCATACCACATACCAGCGTCCTGATCACTGCCAAAGGACATACCAGCATCCGGATTTTAGGGTCTCAATTGATCAATTTTCAAATATATATCCCAGTTTGTAGAATCTAAAGTTTTCGCAAAGTCTAAATAATATACACTATTTTGGTTATTTGTACCCCAAAAACGTAGAAGAATACATTTTGGCCTAAATTTATGAAGAAAAAAAATTATAAAGCAAAGAAAAAAAATATATAAATAAACACAAAGTGGTGATCAAATATCACCAAAAAAAAAGCTCTGTCTCAAAAAAATTATAAAAAAAAAAAAATTTCATATGGGTACAGCGTTGTATGACTGAGTAAATGTCACTCAAAGTGTGATAGTGCTGAAAGTTGAATTGGCCTGGACTGGAAGGGGGTGAAAGGTTCCAGACTAGAAGTGGTTGTAATGTCAAGACATTTTTTTAACCTTACTGTATGCCCTGCATTAAGGGAAAAAAAAAAATTGATCCACTTCTTGTATCCCCCACCTCACCTCCCTAAGTACTTGCCCAAGTCGTATCCCAATTCAGTGCTGTGCACATTTGCAGCAACGCTGATCTATGTTCCTCTCCACACAGAGGTAGCAGCAAGAGCCACTGCCTTCTGCTGTTGTAAATCCTGTGGGGAAAGAGTGGGGGCAGGGCTGTTCCACGCTGTCTGTGTCTATGGATGCACACAGCCTGGCTTGGGAGCGAGTCCGCGTGTCTGCTCCCATAGCTGACAGAGGACCCCAGAAGAGGTTCAGTGCCAGTCTGTGCAATACCACTGCACAGAGCAGGTAAGAATAACATGTTTATTATTTTAAATTTAACCATTTTCCCTCCAGAGGATTTACTCCCCTTCCTGACCATGCCATTATTTGAGTTACATCGCTGCGTTATTTTAACTGACAATTGCACGGTCATACAACGCTGCACCCAGATGAAATTTACGTCCTTTAATTTCCCACGAATTGAGCTTTCTTTGGGTGGTATTTGATCGTCTGTGCGATTTTTATCTTTTGCGGTATAAGCAAAAAAAGACCGACAATTTTGAGGAAAAAAAAAAAAAAAAAAAAAAAAAAACACAACATTTTCGGCTTTTTGCTATTAAACAAGTCTAGTAAAAAATAAAAAAAAAAAAAAATCAAATTTCGTCATAAATTTAGGCCAAAATGTATTACAGTATTTATATAGCGCCAATAGTTCACTCAGCGCTGTACATTACAATGTGAGACAATACATGAGACCGTACAATGACAATACAGTGTAATACACAAGGGGTTCGAGGGCCCTGCTCTTTGGAGCTTACAATCTAGGAGGGAGGGGATAGTGGTATGGGAGGAAAAGCTGTGGGGGATGGAGTGGTGGGAAGAGAGGAGAACGGCAGTTAGCAGAGGTGGGTTTTCAGGGTGCGCCTAAAGGAGAGGAGAGTAGGCGATAGTCTGATGGATTGGGGTAGGGAGTTCCAGAGGATGGGTGATGCCCTGGAGAAGCCGTGGAGGCGGGTATGGGAGGAGGAGACCAGGGAGCTAGAGAGAAGGTGGTCTTGTGAGGAACGGAGAGTGCGTTTTTTGGGTGGTACTTGGATATTAGGTCGGTGATGTAGTTTGGGGCGGTATTATGGATAGCTTTGTACGTCACTGTTAACATTTTGAATTTAATCCGTTGGGCAATCGGGAGCCAGTGGAGGGATTGGCAGAGGGGGGTGGCGGAAACAGAGCGGTTGGTAAGGTGGATGAGTCTGGCTGCCGTATTCAAGATCGACTGAAGCGGGGATAGCCAGCGGCGAGGGAGGCCAGTGAGGAGGGAGTTGCAGTAGTCGAGTCGTGATATGATGAGGGAGTGGATGAGCTGTTTAGTGGTTTTCGGGGTTAGGAATGGGAGTATTTTGGCGATGTTGCGGAGGTGGAGTCGGCATGAGTTCGTAAGCGATTGGACTTGGGGCTGGAAGGATAGATTGGAGTCAAGAATGACACCAAGTACTTTGGCTTGCGGAGTGGGCCTGATGGTGGCATTGTTGGACGTGATGGAGAAGTCAGTGGTGGTGGGGGGGGGGGAAGACTAGGAGCTCGGTTTTGGAGAGGTTCAGTTTAAGGAAGTGGAGCGACATCCAGTATTCTGCTACTTGTCTTTGTTAAAAAAAAAAAAAAAAAAATCCCAGTACATGTTAATTAATTGGTTTACGTGAAGGTTATAGCATTTACAAATGGCGGTATAAATACTGGGATGTTTTTTTTCCCCCTTACTATGGCGGCGATCAGCGACTTTTAGCTGGACTGTGGCGCGCAGTCTGACACTGGGGGGGGGGAATAACTTGGTGTCACCGACATCCCCAGTGACACCAATACAGTGATCAGTGCTAAAAAACAGCATGACACTGGGCAGGATGGGGTTAATGTGAGGGGTGATCAAAGGGTTAACTGTGTGTAGAGAGTGTTTTACTAGGGGGGGCGGGGGTGTGTGCTTCACTGTAAGCACACCGACTGTGCACAGCCATCCCAAGCAGTGTGCCCGAGCTGACAGGGAGGAAGACTGTAAACAAAACAGTCATCCTCCCCGTCGGTAATCTCCGGACGCCGGCAGGTAATCTCCGGACGCCGGCAGGTAATCTCCGGACGCCGGCAGGTAATCTCCGGACGCCGGCAGGTAATCTCCGGACGCCGGCAGGTAATCTCCGGACGCCGGCAGGTAATCTCCGGACGCCGGCAGGTAATCTCCGGACGCCGGCAGGTAATCTCCGGACGCCGGCAGGTAATCTCCGGACGCCGGCAGGTAATCTCCGGATGGTACCTGGTGATTGACATCAGTGTCCATGAATGGCCGCACTCGTGTGCGCCCCTACCTGGAAATGCAAAATCACGTATATATACACGTGATGTTGCGCACCCGTGCCACCATGTAGCAGTATATCTGCTATACAGCGGCGGGTAAGCAGTTAAAAAAAGTAACCTTTACATTAAATAGTTAAACTGCACATTTACATTCAAGTCAAAAGTGTGACCCATACATGGATTTAGAGAGGGTCTCTTTCTGCTGTGCGCTTTAGAAAACCCATAATACTCTGAATACTATCTCTATTGTAAACTTATGGCGCTCTCATCCATTACATTTTCTCTGCTGACAACTGTGTAAGAAGGCATTGCCCCTCACTTAAAGTTTTCTTCTCAAGTTCAAATCAAGCCATCCAGAATTAGGGGGAAAATAACCTGGCCTTCTATACACTAAATTATTAGAAACTCACAAAGCATTTTTGGTGAGCACAAAAGTTGGGATAAGAGACTTTATAAAACCATCATATTTAATCAAAAGTATTAAAGAATTACAAACTCATTCAAACAGCAATTAGTTTTTACCTTGTTCATTCGGCTGGAAGTCAACTGTTTCCACTACTACAAAATCATGCCAATCTATTTGCGCATAGGCCACACGTTCTCGCTCTTTCTCCTCTTCCTCTTTTTTCCTCTCCCTTTCCTGGAACTTGGCCCACTCCACACGGTAACGCACCTAAACATAGGGAAGATTAAAATTTTAACCACTTGCCCTCCAGAGGATTTATCCCCCTTCATGACCAGGCCATTATTTGCGTTACGGCGCTGCGTTACTTTAACTGACAGTTACGCGGTCATGCAATGCTGCACCAAAATGAAATTTACATTCTTTTTTTCCCATGAATTGAGTTTTCTTTCAATTGTATTTGATCGCCTGTGCAGTTTTATTTTGTGCGCTATAAGCAGAAAAAAAAAAAAAAAAAAAAGACAATTTTGAGAAAAAAAAAAAAATATTGTGGACTTTTTGCATTAAACATGTCCAGCAAAAAAAAAAAAAAAAAAAAAAAAAAAAAAAAACAGCCACCATCAAATTTCATCTTAAATTGAGGCCAAAATGTATTTTGCAACATGTCTTTGCTAAAAAACAAACAGAAAAAAGAAAATCCCAATATGTGTAAAATTAATTGGTTTACGTGAAAGTTATAGCGTTTACAAAATGTTGGTATAGATAATGGGATTTTAATTCTACTAGTAATGGCTGCGATCAGCGACTTAGCGGGACTGCGGTGGACATTCTGACACTGGGGGGGGGGGGAGAAACTAAATTGATGTCATTGACATCTTAAAGCACTGACCCTGTACTAATGGCACTGGGCAAGGAGGAGTTATTTTGAGGGGCGATCAAAGGGTTAACTGTGTTGGGAGTGTTCTTCACTGTAAGCACACTGATCGGGATTGGCTGTACTGTGCACAGCCATCCCAACCAATGTGCTCGAGCTGACAGGGAGGAAGATTGTAAACAAAACAATCAACCCTTCCTCCCTGTCGGTAATCACCGGGCACTGGCAGGTAATTACAGCCCAGGACCCGGTGACCGACATCCGTGGCCATGAATGGCGGCGCGGTTAAAGCTAGCACGCACCCTACCCAGAAATGAAAAATAACGTATATATACACGTGATTCTGCGCACAGGTGCCGCCCTGTAGCAGTATATCTACTATAGGGCGGTCCTTAGCGGTTAAAGCAGGATTCCGATTAGTTTGTTAACCTGATGGTTGAATCTGCTTCACAGTCTGTTTCTATCACACCGTAGACAAGGTCAGACAAAAAGCAATTAAAACAATCTGCTCTACAACAAACCTAATGCAATCAATAAAATTACCCAATAAGAATATTTAACTCAGTAGTTCAACTACAGACCAGGCTTTCTTCTGTATTCATCTCAAAAGAGGAGTTTTTTTATAACCCTAAGAGGTTACAATGTCTAAATGTGTTCTATAACCACTGACATTTAAAATGTACACACACACACACACACACACACACACACACACACACACCATTCATTTGTTTTTCTGTCAATTACATTGAAGTTCACCATTCTTTAGTTAAATTCTCTTCTAAAACAGACTGTACTATGCCTCATAACAGTAAATACAATGCTAAATAAATATTAAACACATTTGTGAGCCAATAGAAAAACTCTTTTACAAAAAGTTAAATACTTTAGATTTACCAAAGTTCAAAAAACTTTCTCAAAGAGATAAACAAAGTCAATTACTAAAATAAAATTAAAAAAAGGAATGTGGTTTAATTCAGAAGTAGGTTGTTTGGATTGTAAAACATTAATAAAACAGCAGCCAAACAAGACTGGACAATTACCTGGTCTAAAACTTCCGTGGGGTTCTCGGCTTCTTTCTTCAGCTTGGTGAGTAATCCCTTTGGAGGAATCAGGATCTGAAACAGACGAAGAGATCACTTACAAAGTACTATCCAGTGTCAGGGAAGGAGAGCTCACACGGTCATCTTTATTAATAGCTTTGTAATAAAGTTAGTCACTTCCCAGCCAGCCTGCAATGACTTGCTGTTGAACAGCTGCCTGAGCATACATAGAAAACAGACGTAGTAAATATATTCAAATACAATCATCTTGTACCAGAAGATCTGCAGCTTATTTCCTGTGAGAAGCATTTAGAAATGTTTCTAGCAGTTACAAGGTATTCCCAAATATACCATATTGTCCCTAGAGGGACAAAATAGTCAAAATGGAGAGAAGAACATCTGTATTATACTTGCTTTGTTGTGTAGTTGTGAGATGGAGTAAGACAGACAAACAGGGATATTTATAAAAAGGAGAAAAGTGGGTAGTTTTGTATTTTATGATTTTGCACTATCAATACCTTAATTCACCACTCTGATACTCTGCTGCTGTTTTTAGTTTTTCATATATATTTACAGATATCAGCACACTTCTAATTTGTAAAACAAGAGCTTAAAGCATATCTAAACCCAAAAGCAAAATGAATATATTGCAGCTTACCAATCCTTGGTGGTTGTAATAGTTTTTTTTTTTTTTTTTAAGTCTTTGCCCCTTTGCCCCTCTGTTATTCGACTTCCTTTGACAGACCAAGCTGTCCAGCAAAAGTGACAATTACAGGGCTTAGATAAACCACTTACCACCAACAGGGGTGCTTACAATGGTTACTTATTATTCACGTAAAATCTTTATCCCAACGGCTTAAAAAGTATCACCTTGAGTTTGGGTTTATCAGTCAGGTCCATTTTGAAAGTGCATCTAATACAACTCTCTCCACAGACAGACACTGCTGTCCAAGGGTGGCTCCATTTCTCCTCCACAGGGTGGGGGGCCCCAAGACAGAAAGTGCGTTCCTGGCTGGATCACAAGGTGAACAATGGAAAAACTAAAAAAAAGTAACACTAATGCAACCACATCATTTAGCCCCGATTCACACCACTGCGACTTCAGGTGTGACATGCAATTTAAAAATCATATCTGAAGTCGCATCTAATGTATTTCCATGGCAGTGTCTTAATAGGTATGATTTCAAGTAGCGAGATTTGAAAGAGACAGAATAACCATAAAGCCAGCAAAAAAAAAACAAAAACACATGATACAAATGTTATAAATTGAGCTGCAGTTCAGTGAGCAAAATGGGTATTTGATACCCAAGCAAAACATGACTTAGTACTTGAAGAAACCCTTGTTGGCAATCACAGAGGTAAGACCTTTCTTGTAGTTGGTTACCAGGTTTGCACACATCTCAGGAAGGATTTTTGTCCACTCTTCTTTACAGATCTTCTCTAAATCCTTAAGGTTTCTTGGCTGTCGCTTGGCAACTCTTAGTTTCAGCTCCCTCCATAAATTTTCTATAGGATCAAGGTCTGGAGACTGGCTAGGCCACTCCAGGACCTTAATGTGCTTCTTGAACCACTCCTTTGTTGCCTTGGTGGTATGTTTTTGGTCATTGTCATGCTGGAAGACCCATCTATGACCCATCTTCAGTGTTCTGGCTCAGGGAAGAAGGTTTTTATCCAAGGTTTTACAATACATGACCCCGTTCATTGGCCTCTCAATGTGGCAAGGTCGGCCGGTACTTTTAGCAGAGAAACAGCCCCAAAGCATAATATTTCCAGCTCCAGGTTTGACTGTAGGGATGGTGTTCTCTTAAGGCCATATTGAGAATTTTTTTTTCCACCAAACATGGCGAGTCAAGGTAATGTCAAAGAGCTCAATATTGGTCTCATCTGACCACAGCACTTTCTCCTAATTCTTCTCTAAATCATTTAGATGTCCATTGGCAAACTTCAGACAGGCCTGTACATGTGTCTTGAGGAGGGGGACCTTGTAGGCACTGCAGGATTTCAATCCATGGCAACACATTGTGTTACCAATGGTTTGTTTGGAGACTGTGGTCCCAACTGCCTCACAAGCTCCTCTGTGTAGTTCTGGGCTGATCCCTCACTTTTCTCATGATCATCCTTACTCCATGAGGCGAAATCTTGCATAGTGTTCAAGACTGAGGGTGGTTGATGGTTATTTTGTATTTCTTCCATTTGCAAATAATCGCTCCAACAGTTGACTCCTTCTCACCAAGCTTCTTGCTGATGGTCTTGTAGCACATTCCAGACTGGTGCAGTTCTACAATCTTGTCCCTAAAGTCCTTTGACAGCAATTTGGTCTTTTCCATGGTGGTGAGGTTTGAATGGAAGAAAAAGATTCTGGACAGGTGTCTTTTATACACATAAGTTGTCGTTAGGAGCACCTTCTTAAATTGAAAGAACTAATCTGTGTACCACAACAGCACATAGCCAGTCTGTGGGAGTCAGAATTATTGTTGGTTGGTAGGGGATCAAATACTTATTTTACTCACTGAACTGCAACTCAATTCATAACATTTGTATCATGATTTTTCTCTGGATTTTTGGTTGATATTCTGCCTCGATCATTTAAAATACATCCATGATAAAAATTATATACCCTTCAGTGGGCCAACTTACAAAACCTGCAGGGGATCAAATAATTATTTTCCCCACTGTATCAGTGCTTTAAATGGGACCAAATTGCCCCACTTTGAAAATCACATTCAATGTGAACCAGGGCTTAAGGACTGTTAGCTGCAATCAAATACAATTTTTGTTTTCGAGTTTAGATAGGTTTTAGCCTCAAAAAATTGCCAGATTAGTGCACCACATTTAAAGCAGTACTTTGGATTTCTCCAAAACAAAACTCACCTATATGTCAAAGCTGTGAATATACCATTGTATATTAAACGAGTTCTCCCAAGGTTGGCAACATGCATATAAACTAACCTGGCAAACCAGAATTAAGAAAGTAGTCTGCCGCTCCCAAGCCCAGAATGCGGGGGCCACTTCACAAACTGTTGGGTGCCAAAGGGGCTCATCCATAGCCCAAACACTTGTTGTGAATCAAAGAGCTAAGAATGGATGGCACAAAAGCAGAATTATAAACTCCATGAGAAGGGCCCTATTATTCCTTCTGTATTAAACTGTATTTGTACCATCACCATTTATTTTGTAAAGCGCTGGGTAAACTGTTGGCGCTATATAAATCCTATATTATAATAATAATCTCTCATAGATACTCCGGATTGGAAACACAGCCATCTTGCTTCTGCAAGAACAGAAAATTCATGCGATACAAGAGGGGATATCACCGTTGTGGACCGATACTATCCTAGAAGGGGGGGACCAGGCCGTGGATGGTCATTCTTGTTTTCTAACAGGCGTTTTGGCCCTTTGGGTCGCTTCAAGGAGGTGAGGGGGCAAATCATCAGTTTATGGATTATTTCCTTCTGGTTGTCATGCGAATTTAACTATATCACCTGCACTTTGAGTCGTTGGATTATTTGGTGTTTATACGCAACTTTGAACTTTATTTTTCTGGACAATTTTTATGCGACAGTTTAATGGTGTTTTTTTTGAATATCACTTTTGTTGTGATATCACTTAATAATGTTTGATTGTATTTATTATTTTCTGTCTCCTAATCACTGCACTTGTAACTATCGGGTGATATGATATATTTAATCCCACATTCAGGGATTCACGGATCTTTTTTCACTACTTTTCACTATTTTTTGGCTAATTTACAGCCTGTGTGGTCACCATTATTATCAGTATGATAACTGATCCCATATTTCAGAGATTCACCTTTTATGTTGATTATTATAGTTCATAATTATCGGAGTCCCAATAGGACTTTTTGACTTTTATTCTTGTTTATTTCTTTCACTGGCGTTTCTTTAGCTATACATTATCAATTCACTTTTTTTTGTCCCACTATGGATCCCCTAGTGGATCAGTTCACTTTATGATCTGTGAGTTATTGGTTTGTTGTATTCACTGAATTGCACTGGTGGCATTCATTAGTCACTTATAAGTTTGGTACAAGCCATTTTGGCTGATTCAAACTGTTTTTAAGTGCATTCTATTCTATTTTACGCATTTGTCTATTGGCATGTTACATTTATTGGTTTATTTATTTGATATTTTTTTGGGATAAGCAAGTGTGGGAGTGGTGTAGTATTGGGGTAGCGCTGCACTAATTCACTTTATATTTTGCACAATATCCATTTGGTATATGGTTGGGTGTTAGCAGCCCCCTGCCCATAATTGTCATTAGTACATTTTGAGCACCGCAGGAGGTCCCTATCGTTTCATAGATAAAATGTTATTGTGGCAAAATAGCACAAAGCACCATCTGGGCCCTTCACCTAATGAGTTTCACCCAAAACTGGGCACAACTGCAGAGACTATCAAATTATAATATTTAGAATTTTCTGGTGACTGGGACTCTTTAATCCCCCATGTATTTTTAAGCACTCAGGTCGAGAGGGTTTGGGGACATTTTAATGAATAGTTGTTTTAGTGTGTGTGAGTCGAAGACTAGAAGATTGCTCTAATGGGAATAAGACATTTTAGGTGCTAATTGACTGAATCCAGGAGGGAAAGTGTTACATTCAGCACTGTAGCAAGTAGATTGTCAATGGGCTGTGTTAGGGAAAGGTGAGCAACAACACTGCTGTACTGCTGCCAAGTTCAACGTTATCAGTGTAGGAGTCAATCTGTAATGCCAAGTGAGAGGCAGAGTACAAAAGAGCACGACAGTGCTGAGTAGGAACAGATCGCGTAATCCCTGCAAGAACACAAAGCTCTTATCCGGCTAGCAGTGACATCAGCAATGTTACAGAGGGGCAGTTATATGTCCAGTCACCCAAGACAAAGGCAATGCTGCAGTATTTAGTTTTATAGACAAGAAATAGGCACCACCTGACAGAAGGCAATGTATTCAGCAATGTTTCAGCTTTTTTACTAACGGTAGACACCAAAATATTTATAACAAATTAGCTGTGGCTATTTTTAGCTTTAAAGATGATACCTTTGTATATTGTTCCACTAGCTTGGTGAAGTAGTTGAAAAGACTGTGCTGGGGCCTCAGGAAGTCAAATTGGTAATTCCTCTGTTCCTTCTGCATCAGTTGTGTCAAAAACTGGCGCCCGTTACGAGCCACAAACTGGGCTGTCAGTTTCACCACATCCAGGTCAAAGGCAGAGATAGAAGGTGGATCAGCTACAAACTCAAAATCAGGAGGGGGTTCCTTTGGAACAATGGTTTCTTGGACAACCTGAGCTTGAACCTAAAAGAGAAAACCACTAGTTTAGTACAGCATTTTAATTAAATTACTTGTCAAACTTTAGTTATTTGCTGGTGGTAGTGGTGGTGTTGGGAGGATTTCAACAACATATCAACTTAACTGCAACATAATACATTTTGGGAAACAATTCTGTTTACATTTGTAGCACAATCACATACCTTCTGAGGAAGCTGCTGTACAGACTGCTGTTGCTGCATAACTTTAGGTATGGCAGCAGATGGCTCCTGTGCTTTTCCCTCTTTGAACTCATTGACCTTGTGACGGTAGTAAGCATGATAAGGATCATTTGGATTCAAAAAATTAAATTTAGGATTGTTGATTTCATTTTGGCGGATTCTGGCTTCAAACTCAGGGCCATTTCTGTCGCAAAAAAAAAAAAAAAAAAAAAAAAAAACACAAGTCAGACTTTTTCCTCATAAATCCAGGTATGTTTATTATTAATAAAAAGTAATACAGAATCATATGCAGCAAGGTCTGTGGGCTGGAAACTAAACAGTATATAGTCATAATTTAGGTTGGAAAATGTGCCAACTCACATTTATTTACAGGAAACTGACATGAGGTGAACATGGTTGCTCCTAGTGATGACCTGTCCTTCTAAAAAAAGGTGGTTGTCTGGCAGCCACCCTCACCCTATAGCGTTAATGGCTTAGTTCACCTTTAATGAAAAAACTGCCCTTGCAGATAAGTGGCGTCTGCAGATAAACTGTGCAGCTTTGACTAAAGTTGCCCTTGCTATGGATATAGGCAATTTACATACTTCATGAAGCCAGACCTGAAAATTCTCAGGAAGTGGATAAGAACGCTACTAAAAGAGCCCCAGCTATTACAGTTCACCCCAACCATCGCAGACGTGAGCACTCAAATGCTGAGCCCAGAGCTACTGCATCAGAGGAGAGAAAGTGCATGTGAAGGAGTGTGAATCAGAAAAAGCTTGCTCCTGTGAAACTGAACATGAAAAGTAAAAGCTGGGCTTCTCTTAGCAACATCCAGTTTTCCAGTGAGGCTTCATGAGGTACGTAAATGGCCTACACCTATAGCATTCAATTTTGGTCAAAGCTGCAGTTTTATTTTATCAACAGAAGCCCCTTATCTGCATAGTCAGTATTTTGGTAAAAGTGAACTAATCATTTAAAGTGATTCTAAAACTCTGTTATAAGCTTACCTGTAGGTTAAATTAATATCTCCTGAACGTGCACAGTTTAGGAGATACTCTCTCATTAAATCCAGCGCATGCGCTGTGTGCTGTGGCCCGGGACCCCCGCGTGCATGCTGGGGAGTGACGTCACCGTGGACCGGGCTGTCCAGAATGCTAGAGCTCGTGAACCCGGAGGGAAGACGGATGAAGATGGAAGCCTCTACAGCTGTGACAGCGCGCTACTGGAGGGCTTCATTTTAAGGCAAGTTTTACATAACGTGCGAATATGCAATTCATACTAGTATATTATGACATCACCTTGAGGGTAACTTTTTTTTTTTGTCTGCGGTTTACTATAGCTATAAAGATTTGATTTAGGGAGACAGAATAAGGATGTAATCATGTAGCCAAGAAATCAGGTCTCTTGAGAATCCTAGATCGGCAGCTTTTCACTGTCCCGCTACATGAACCATGGACTGGATCCAATGCTCCAGACAGATGCCATTCCCAGGTTTCCCACAGAAATTCCAGGCCAAAAAACAGTCGCAGCATCTGATGCAGTGGATGCTCAGGCTTAAATGATTATCCGGGAGGAAATGTGCCCCATGAACTGGAAATGTGTCATCACAGTGCCATACTGCTACAACTTAGTGGCCCGGCCCTCTTCTCCAGCAGGGTCAAGGTGCACCTAGAAATGACCTTACCAGAACGAAGAGGAGCGGACCACAAATGTAAAACTACCCTTAGACACACCCACCACCTTGGTCCACGCAAACGTGCTGCTCTCTCCAGTATCCAGTACCAGCGACACTTACCCACCGGTCACCAGGGGGACAACCCCAATACTCCTGGCACTACACTTCTAGTTGGAGTTGCCTGACAACCATAACTGATGCAAGATCCCACTGGAAGAACACAGAACAGGACACCCTTCGGTAAGGGGAGTTAGTAACACAGTTACACCGTGTACTAGCCACCTTGAAGGGGCTCAACAACCACAGTTATTAGAGCCAGGGAAACACAGCAAACATGAAAAAGTATAAACCTGGAGGTCAGAAACACAAAACAAACATGAAGGGGAGAGAGGGGCTTTTTAATCTCTGCTCCGATTTGTGTTTCCTGTTGAAGGTGGAGCCAATCATCTCAAGTATAGCTATTCTGGAAGAGAATTTGGGAAAATGATTGTTTTGAATCAGTAACTTGGCATACTTAAACCAGTGGTTAAGCATAACAGTTAACTAGAATTTTCAGAAGAGTATGCAGTAAAGTCACCCCCAATATTTCATTTTTAAAAAGTTTAGAATAATAATATATGTAGACCTTATTTATCAAAAAAATGTATGCTGGCCAAAGCAAACAAAAATTTCTGCAAATTTCAAACCTGTTGTATATAATTATACTAGGAAACCGGGATGCTATGGAATAGTAGCGTTACAATAAATAAAACCCAACTTTTCCTTAAAGTTATTCATTTTAGCAAGCCATTAAAGGCTTACATATTAAAATGCATGATAAAAAAAAAAAAAAAAAAAAAAAAAAAAAAAAAAAAACTTGCCTGTAGCAACCAAAACCCTACTGTAATTGACCAAATATGGGGAAAAAAAAAAAAAATGTTACTATCAACAACTTTACACGTAGGTTCCTTGCCAATAACGTATAATGCCATTCCTACTACACCATAGACTACGAAATCTAAAAAAGCTGAGAGAAGGAAAAAAATATCAGAGCTTGTATCACTTACCTTGCCACAAAGCTTGCTGTCTTGTCCACGATATTTCGGACTTCTGGTGGAGGATAAATAATACCCACAATAGGCTTGGAGGGAACCACCTCTTCTTTTTTTTCCTCCTCCATTTGCTGCTGAAGAATAATTAAAGAAAAATGTTACTTTGTCTGAGGGCTATATGGGGATTGTAGCCATAATTTAGTACACTCTTGTAGCCCAACAGTTGGCTGCATGTTGATCTTCACTATTCTCTTCCAAGGAAAGCCAGCACTTGTTTATAGCAGCAACTTTTAAAGTAGAACTATAAGCATTTGTTTTACATTTCAGATAGAGGCACGGGAGGTTTATAACCCCAGTCAGGATTTTTTTTTTTTGTTCCATTGCGGAGATTTTCCTTTACTTCCTGTCTCATAGCTAAACAGGAAGTGAGAGGAAATCCCTGCAAATTAGGGAATTTCTTGGGGATCCCCCCCCAAGTCAACAGAACTAATGTCCCCATTAGAAGATTTCACCTATATTAACTTTCTGGAGACAACCAAAATGTGGGTTTATTTTACTTTCACTTTCAATAAACTGTAAGCTCCAAGGAGCAGGGCCCTTCAACCCCTCATGTATTGAATCGTATTGTTACTGTGCTGTCTCGTGTACTGTCTCCCATTATAATGTACAGCGCTGAGCAAACTGTTGGCGCTATATAAATCCTGTATAATAATGATAATGGAAAACAGGACAAATACAGAGTTTGAATCTCCCCAACGGGGACACAGATCATTAAAAACTGACAAGCGTTCTACTCCCTCTCTACTCTTCCCAAAACAAAGAAAGGTTTTCCTTTAGTTATACTTTAAGTCTATTAAAGTGTACCTTTTGTGATTCCTGATATTTTCTCGTAGAATTAACACATCACTGTGTTGTAACATGGCCTGTGCAGTGAGCAGAACATTAGGTGGGACCCAACAGGCTCCACCCGCTACAGGAGGGGGCAGAGATAAGACCAGACACACTGCACAAGAAGTGACCGCAGTAGTGAGTGCTTTTTTTACAAAACGTTTCTGCACTGAGACAAAGGATCGTTAGATTACGGCACAGACCTGGAAGAAATACACAAATCACATCAAGATTCAAGAGATAATACAAAAAAACTCTTGAATGTAGACAATACTGGCTTATCCCTGAGTTCAACTTTAGCCCTAGTTCACATTATGAATATCACAGGAACGTGGTGGTGCATTCCTGTTCTATTCACATGTGATTCAGTGCAAAGTGATTTTGGCCCATTCGTTCTGCATTTATGAAATGCGTTTGGGGTGTGTGAACTTAACACTGACAGCCACTGCAGGTCGCCACTGCAGCGTGTTTTGAATGCAGTGTGGGAAACGCACACGGATCGCGATTGGTTAAGGAACCTTTTTTTGGACGCCCCACAATTTTGTTTGTGCAATCGCGGCACATTTGTTGTGCAGAAAAAAACCAGCAAAAACGCCCCATGTTTTCAAGTGCCATTGAAATGAATGGCACCTGAACGGTTTCACATTTTCACAGCGCATTTTCAATCACGGCGATTCCGCACACGAATTGAAACCTCTAAGTGTGAATGGAGCCTTAGATACACTTTGGCTTTTGATGAAATACTAAACCCTCCTGCAAAAGCAGAGGAATGCAGAGGTTGCAGCTTTTATCATTACAAACAGATCGGCTGTGGATGATGACAGTAAATGCTGCCACCTAGCAGTCACTTTGAGAAGAGGGATGGAAACAAACTCAGGAGAGGAAAAAAAATAGTCTGTTACATTTTGCCAGGCCTCTCCTGAAGAGCCCATGTGTGAAATCATGCCTTAACACCATGCTGAAAGCGGATCTGTGATTGGATGGTAGACATGACTCCTCTCAGCCACCTCCTTCCACAGGATCATATCACAGGGCCAATTAAAGTGACTATGCAATCAGAATGAACAATCTACTTTTAGCGCCATTCATACCTCTGCATTTTGGGAATGTGCATTTCCACAAAACATTCCAGAGCATGCAAAAAAAGCATGTTGAGCAGGCGGTACCATTAAAGGAGAAGTTTGGCTAAAGTTATTTTGGACCCAGTTCTCCTGGATCACAGGATTGCAGTTTGTTCTGCATGCCTGTGACCTGTTTTCAGCCAACAGAGGGCTAAAACCATCATAGAGCCAATCCAGGCTCTGTAAAGATCCCAAAGCCCGACCCGCAGCTGGCTCAGCCTCTCAGAATGCCTCCGAGAGCCTAAACCCTCCACAGCCTGGCACTCCAGTGAGCACTGAAGGGGCAGAGCAGAGAGCTGGTGACTGACAGTGACCGGCTTTCTGCTAACTGAAAATGAGAACTGAGTGATCAGCGGTCTTTGATCGCTCAGCTCTCAATCTTAGAAGTGGTGGGGGACAGATGCTGCATCCACCTAGGTGAGTATAGTGTTTTTTGTTTTTTTTTTTCCAACCCCATACTTCTCTTGACACCTTCCCGCTGGCTGTATGCATATATGCAGCCTCTCAGCAGGTTGGCCTTAACGCTGAGCGGTCACATATGTGAGAACCTGTATAAACAGCTTACCATGCTGAGAGAGCACTCCCTGCACTATAGCTGGCGGGGATCAGTAACCTCCCAATGCATATTTGTGATCAGGAGCTTTCCAATCATGTGACCACTGTGACAGCCATCACATTGGTCACATGACCCGAATGCCCACCTCCCGGCATCTAGGAGCTCTTGAAGGGCCAGGAGGTGTCAGTGGGAAAGGGTTAAAGCTACATTCACACCTCAGCAATTTGCAGCTTGAAGCTACAAAACGCACAAACATAAAAGAAGAAATCAATTATTCACTGTGGTGCTTGTTGATGCCTGTAACTCAAAAAGATCTGGAGCTTCTTTAGCAGCTTAAATCGGGCAGACAGCAGCATTTTGAGTCCCACAGAATCACACAGATATGTGCGCTTTTAAGATGTCAACAAAGCAACAAGTGATGTCACAGATAATACTGTTATCTATTGGCTAACACAAAAACGCCTGAAGCTCCAACGCTGTAATAAAACATGCAAAAATCACACAACAAAATGTGTGCAAAGATTGTAACTCATCTGCAAATGCAGCCTAGTTGTTAAAGCACCCCAAATATGCCTAAGAAACACATTTTGTCATGGTGCAAACAAAACACAGCGAAACACTCCACTAGCTATTTTGCCAGGTTTGTCATACAGCAAGTGAATGGAAAGCTGTATACTGTCACACGAAAAACATACACAGGTGTGAATGAGGCCTTATGTCTACCATCCATTATGTACCGCAAGGCTTCATTCACATCTAGAAATCAGTGGTGCACCGAAACGAAAATTCTGGACTGAAACCGAAAATCCAGGATACACTTGGCTGACAACTGAAACAGACAATTTTTTTTTCTAAAAAATATATTTTGTACATATATCCAGTAACGTAAAATAACTTATTGAATATATATGTGTGTATGTATATGCTGCACAATAATTTAAAGGATAAGTTCACCTTTTGACATTTTTACCTGCAAAAAAATGTGCATTTATTTTTTGTTGCAGGAGCCTGAAAAGCAGATCGCTGGTGGCATGTAGGACTCCTGCAGACTTGTCAGTGTATCGGTCTGCTCGTACCTCAAACCGGCAAGCAGATACATACTGACAAGATGACTCACCAAGGATGTTGGGAATTCTACTTTTCTCATTCACAGAATACAGTGAATGAGTAATGCGACCAGAGCTCCACATGGCCACTTTAAAAAAAAAAAAAAAAAAAAAAAAAACAAACACCTGACAGCTAGCAGAAGTTCCCCCCCCACCTAGAGCTGGTCCTTTCATAACGTTACACTCTGAATATGGATGTAACATGTAATGAAAGGTGAACTTATCCTTTAACCACTTGCCTACCGGGCACTTTCACCCCCTTCCTGCTCAGGCCAATTTTCAGCTGTTGCACTTTGAATGACAATTGCGCAGTCATGCAACACTGTACCCAAACCAAATGTTCATCATTTTTTTGAGACAGATAGAGCTTTCTTTTGGTGGTATTTAATCACCACTGGAGTTTTTATTTTTATTCTGTTATAAAATTTTTTAAATAAGTATATTTTCTACTTCATTGATGTGTGCTGAAGAGGCCGCACTGATAGACTGCACTGATGGGCATTGACAGGCCTCATTAATGGGTACTGAAAGACAGCTCTGATGATCAGTGTAGATGTCCCCTCTGAGGAATGCCATTTACCGGCTCTACTCACACGCTGTGGCATTGATTGACAGCACTGATGATCAGTGCTCTGATTATCAGTGTAGATGTCCCCTCTTGCCACTTACCAGCTCTACTCATGCGCTGTCACGTGAGGAGAAGACTGACGATAACTGGCATTTCCTGTTTACATGCGATCAGCTGTGATTGGATTGGGGCACACATGCACAGCTAGAGTGGGAGGTTGTCACACGGCGGGAGGGAGGCAGTTAAGAAAAAAACCATCAGTATTTTTTTTTTGTCTATTTCCCTATTTTTGGTGGACAATATATTGATGCATCACTACTAGAAATGCTCCAGCACCTTTTTTTTTTTTTTGGAGGCAACTTTGACATTTTTTTACATGCCAAAACACCTGCTTTCTTGGGGGTTTTGGGGCCCCAATCACACCTGAGCATAGCGGAGGAAACACTTTTTTCCATTTTTCATGCGTTAATGCTAGTGGTGTACAAAAATGAAAATTCTGGTGCTGAAACCAAAAATTCAGGATGCACGTGGGCAAAAACCGAAATGGAAGATTTTTAAAAAATTAATATATATTTTGGAAAAAAATACACTTTTACGATTTAAAAAAAAAGTATATACTCCAATTTTTTTGTAAAAAGATGATGTTACGGCGAGTAAATAGACACCAAACATGTCATGCTTTAAAATTGCGCATGCTCATGGAATGGCGTCAAACTACAGTACTTAAAATTCTCCATGGGTGATGCTTTAAACATTTCTACAGGTTAGCAGTGTAAAGATACAGAGGAGGCCTAGTGTGAATTATTGCTCTTGCTCTGACTTATGTGGCGATACCTCACATGTGTGGTTTGAACACCGTTTATATATGTGGGCATGGCCTATGTATGCTTTTACCATTACATGCAAGCAGGGGGGGGGGGGGGGGGGTCACTTTAAACTTTTTTTTTTAACACTACCCCTTTAAAAAAAAAATGTAATCAGTTTTATTCCTATCAAAAGGAATGCATGCATCCCCTGTGATAGAAATCATTAGTGACAGGTCTTTATGGAGAGATAAGGGTCCTTAAGACCCCACATATCTCCTTACAATGTAAAGCATTGGATCCCAAAAAAAAAAAAGCGGCCTTGTTAAGGCACCAGAACCGACATCACTCCAGTCCTCCAAGGGCATAGAGATGAGTGGAGGCCATCTTTCCTTTACTTATCTCTATGCCCAGCACCGGGATCGTTCGGTGGTTTCTCTGGTAAGGCTCAGAACCACCAAGCAGTGGTGGGTTGTGGCAGCGTTATTTTCCTATCAGCCAATTGGGGTGTTTTCAGCCAAAACGTTTCAGCCACCGAAATTTCAGTGCACCCCTATTAATGCACATCACATCTAGGACAGCTCTATGCACAACAAACGCCCCCAAGTAGCTCCACAACCTTTTCTGTCATGCATTTTTTTTTTCAGTGCCCGTTCATAACTCAGCAAAACAGGCATCTCCTACCTGCACTTGGGGGGTGCTATAAACAATTAATGGCACTGCAAGTGTGACCCGAGATTGCAGCACATTTGCAAAAACGCTACATTTTTGCTTGTTTAGGAAATGCAGCATTAGGCCCAATTCATATCTGAGCGTTTTGTAGCGTGAAGCTCCTAAGGGAGGGAAAAAAAAGTCACTATTACTCTATGCAGATGGTTCACATCTCCACTTCCAGAAACAGAACGCCTGAAGCTCAGAAAAGTTTTGGAGCCACTTTTGTAGCTCCATTTAGGCAGACTGATGCATTTTTATTCCCATACAAATACATGGAAACGTGCAAATTGTGCGTTTTCATGCGTTTAGCGCGTTCTGTCACGCGACCATGAGCGCTTTCCTGGCATGGCAACAACTGATGTCACAGATGAGATTTTTCTCTATTGGCGAATACAGAAACGCCTGAACTTAAAATGCCCGGAAACGCCTGAACAAATCACACACAAGCATTTGCAAACGCGCAAAAAAAAAAAAACCCGCTATGCTCAGGTGTGAATGGGGCTAAAGGGCCTGACTGACTAGAACAGTGTGGGAGAATGTATAGTGCCCATTGGAGGGGTCTATAGCCCCCCTACTATGACTACATTGCTAGTAATGTCCCCGCATATGGAGGGTCTCAGTAGACCCAGGCAGCCGCCTGTATTACCTATGGCAGCGATAACACGGCACAGCTCACACTTACCTGGCCTCCCTCAGGCGCCTGAGGCGCTAGCAGCTGAACTGGACCCGCCGGCATGGTGTTGGCCTCTCCCGGGCTCCTAGCAGAATCCTCAGGCGCTTAACACCAAAATGGCGGCACCACGGAGGAGAAAAGGACGGGCGGAAGTGGCGGAAGACACTCACATGCACCTCAGGGCAGGCGGGGGGGGGGGGGGGGGGAGTGTAGGAAACTCTGGGTTTGAGAACAGCCAAGTGCAGTGTTGGAATTTGTTAGCATGCAAGTCATATGCTAAGGCTGTCTAGTCCTAGCTGAGGAATAGTAGGAACCATTTCAACTAGTACAGCAAATCCTACACCACCCCTCCGATACATAGAGAATAGCACGTTCCAAATAAAACCGGAAATACGCGGCACGGAAGTTGCCGGAATTTGTGGCTTTGTCGCTATGGCAACAGATGTAGTGTACTAACGGAGAATTTGCAGCTTCCAGCAAGCGATTTGCCCGGGTCACAGCTGGGGATCCTTCATCATTCCCGACATGGAATAGTCCTGGAATTATTCCGCACACGTGGTCTGTACTAGTCACATGTCCACAGAGTAAGTTCTTCCCGAACTACCTGCCCTGAGCTGAACCCTGGACAGGCAGACTACCCATCATTAGAATCCGCACATTGATGATGCTTTTCTCTTTCTGCTACATTTTCGGCTTTGTTCACACTATGGTACAGAGATGTTAGCTTTTCTGCACGCTTTCTGCAAGGGTACAATGAAACCGATTGTTCTCTATGTGTCCTGTTCACACCACAACACTGTATCTGTACCTGTATCACATGCAGATGTTTTCTGTACAGGAATCTGCAACGTGTATACAATTTACTGAACGTGCATAAAAAGGAATGTCTCTGCAAGTGAAATCTGTACGTCAGTTTCCATCAGTTTTTCTGCACTTATGATGTGAAGGAAGCCTTAGAAATACAGCTTGATGGCCTCCCAACCAGTGATTGGATGGGGAAGGAGCAGCAAAAGACTGCTAAGGTCATCTCTCTGCTCTCTCCAACTTGTCAGCAAGTTTTAAATGGAACTAAACTAGAAAATGCGTACATTGCAGTCAGGCAGGGTCTTTATTTCTGAAGACACATGCTATGTCTCTTCTTCAATAGGAAAAAACATACCTGTCTGTTTACACATGCACAGCTCCGTGTACATTCTCATGCCTTGGTGCCCAGATGGCTGAATGCCCAGGCATGTGCATAGGATTGCCACCTTATCCCGTTAACCCCAAACACATAACAATTACACAGGTTCTGTGTATGATTAAGGTTGTAATTAAACCCTAGACACCGAGTGTATGCAAATATGTGGCCTTTTGGCGTTTGGGCCTTGACGCCGAGCGGCCGCATATTTGCGTGCCATTAGAAAATACATATGTACTGAGAGCGCGCGCCCTGCGCACTCCCAACACATATGTCCGTGACTCACAGAAAGGTCTCGATCTCCCCTTGCGATCGGGACCTTTTCCGATCATGTGACCGCCGTGACAGCAAATCACGGCAGTCACATTACCTTAAAACCCCATCTGCCTCCCAGCTTTTGAAACTCTTAAAGGGCCGGGAGGCACCAGTGCAAAGGGGTTAAACTCAGTGCCTTATCTGCAATAAATTCCCCTCAGAACCTGTGTAATTAATATGTGTTTGGGTTTAAAGGAATGAGGTGGCAACCCTACATGTGCAGATGTTACATCCTCCCACAACAGCCAATCAAGATGGTGGAAGAAGCCAGGATGAAGATGTCAGTGTGGACATCTGATTGTTGGAGCAGAGGTAAGCATCACAGAGTTTAGTTTCACTTTAAGTCACTAGTTCACCTCTCTGCGATTTAAAATCGTGCAATTTGTGTGCTATTCCAGGTGCGATTTCGGAAGAATTTATTGATACTTGTGAAGATTTTCAACAATTTCCATTATATTCTATGTATGTGAAATCGTCACAAAACTGCAGAAGAAGTACTGCAAGAACTACTTTAGAAATCGCGCTGCAGCAAATCGCACATATTAAGACACATTCATTAGGTTTGATTTCAATTCGCAAATCTCACACAGTATGACCGGGCACTAAAGGAAAACTGTAATGGTTTTAGGTCAGTTTTATTTTAAAGTAGTAAAGCCAGTTACAAAAATCTCAAATCTCTTAATGTATTCTTTTAAAAATTATTTTGAGTCTTTTTAACTCTGAAGCTTTCATTAAAGCGGAACTAAACCCTCCCATCCTTTTCAGCCAAGGAAACTGCCATCTTAGCCTCTGTTTGATCTGCAACTGTCATGGTGATACACAGCCATTTGATGGTTTGACAGTTTGGTTAAGAGACCAAACAAATGTGACAGTTACATTCCAGGCATGTGCCAGGAATGTTACTGCTTTGGAAACTGTTAAATCGCTTGGTTTAGTTTACTTTAACGGTCATTTAAAGTTGAGCTAGAGTTAAAGTGGAACTAAACCCTACCTTTTAAACCAAGGAAGCAGCTATCTTAGCCTGTGTTTGATCTGCAACTGTCATGATGCTACACAGCCATTTGATGGTTTGACAATTTGTTTGAGAACCCAAGCAAAGGTGACAGTTACATTCCCGCCAGGTGCCGGGAATGTTACTGCTTTGGGAACTGTTAAATCGATGGGTTTAGTTTACTTTGAAGGTCATTTAAAGTGGAATTAGAGTTAAAGCGGAACTAAACCCTCCTGTTCTTTTCAGCCAAAGAAGGTGCCATCTTAGCCTCTGTTTGATCTGCAACTGCCATTTGATGGTTTGACAGTTTGGTTGAGAACCCAAGCAAAGGTGACAGTTACATTCCCACCAGGTGCCAAGAATGTTACTGCTTTGGAAACTGTTAAATCGATGGGTTTAGTTTACTTTAACGGTCATGTAAAGTGGAACTAGAGTTAAAGTGGAACTAAACCCTACCTTTTTAACCAAGGAAGCAGTTATCTTAGCCTGTGTTTGATCTGCAACTGTCATGATGCTACACAGCCATTTGATGGTTTGACAGTTTGGTTGAGAGCCCCAGCAAACGTGACAGTTACATTCCCAACAGGTGCCAGGAATATTACTGCCCTGGAAACTGTTAAATCGATGGGTTTGGTTTACTTTTACGTCATGTAAAGTGAAACTAGATTTAAAGTGGAATTAAACCCTCCCATCCTTTTGAGCCAAGAAAGCTTCCATCTTAGCCTGTTTGATCTGCAACTGTCATGGTGCTATACAGTCATTTGATGGTTTGACAGGTTGGTTGAGACCCCAAGCAAAAGTGACAGTTACACTCCCGTCAGGTGTCGGGAATGTTACTGCTTTTGAAACTGTTAAATCGATGGGTTTAGTTTACTTTGTCATGTAAAGTGGAGGGTTATAGTGGAATTAAACCCTCCTATCCTTTTCAGCCAAGGAAACTATCTGCTTTTGAACTGCTGTTAATGCTAACGCCATTTGTTGGGGACATTTTGATTGAGAGCCCAAGCAAATGTGACAGTTACATTCCCACCAGGTGGCAGGAATGTTACTGCTTTGGAAATTAAATCGATGGGTTATGATTGCTTTAACGGTCATGTAAAGTGGAACTGGAGTTAAAGTGGAACTAAACCCTCCCATCCTTTGCAGCCAAGGAAGCGCCCATCTTAGCCTGTGTTTGATCTGTAACTGCCATGGTACTCCATTTGATGGTTTCAGTTTGGTTAAGAGCCCAAGCAAATGTGAAGTTACATTCCCACCATCTTACTGCTTTGGAAACTGTTTCGATGGGTTTAGTTTACTTTAACGGTCAACTGTAAACCCTCCCATCCTTTTCAGGTGCTTCCATCTATGCAACTGTCATGGTGCTTGCAGTCATTTGATGGTTTGACAGTTTGGTTGAGAACCCAAGCAAAAGTGATAGTTACATTCCCGCCACGTGGCGGGAATGTTACTGCTTTGGAAACTTAAATCGATGGGTTTAGTTTACTTTCACTCTAGTTCCACTTTACATGACCGGTTGTGTAAAGTGGAACTAGAGTGAAAGTAAACTAAACCCATCGATTTAACATAAACGCGCATAAACACACATGTGCAATATGCAGTTTCAACCATGTTTCGCAAGGCATTCCGGGAGGACATCATGGGGTTCATTTACTAAAGCTGGAGAGTCCAAAATCAGACTCCCTTCTGCATAGAAACCAATCAGCTTCTAACCTCAGCTTGTTCAATGAAGCTTTGGCAATGAAACCTGGAAGCTGATTGGTTTCTATGCAGAAGGGAGTCTGATTTTGGACTCTCCAGCTTTAGTAAATAAACCCCCATATGACAAGCACCCAGAAAGACAAAAGTCCTGCCACCCGTCATATTACAATAGGCTGGGAGGGAACTGGTTAAGCAGCATTTCTCCTGCCAGTAGAGAAGGCATTCAGAGCAGCTGAGCAAACACTCAGTGTGCATGAGGCCTAAAAGCAGCAAAGCTGATAGTCAATGCACAAGCAGTTGTTTCCAGGAAGCCCACCCTGAGCAATGCCATGAAGCTGCCACTGAAGTGCATGTACACAGTAAATGAGTGCAAATAGGCTGCATAAGATCAGCAGACCTGAATCCCTCCCAGAACTGGACAACCGTGCTGTAGCCGTCATTCTTTTGACAGGTTTCATAGATCTGTGGCTCTCATGCAGGAAAGGGTGTAATTATTATTATTATACAGGATTTATATAGCGCCAACAGTTTGCTCAGCACTTTACAATATAGCGGGAGACAATACAGTTCAATACAAGAGGGTTAGCTCCCTGGAGCTTACAATCTAAGAATGAAAGCATACCACCCTGCCCCTCTTAAAGGAGAACTATACAAATAAAAAATTAGGGACAAATGAGAAGGACGAAAGGACAGAGGGACTTTGTTCCAAATGAGGGACTGTCCCTCCAAATCAGGGACAGTTAGGAGATATGTGAAAGGTAGCATTTCAAAAACAGATGTCTTCTACCTTTTTTATGTAAGTTTTCTTATTGCATTGTTTACTTAGGTATCAGAAATATGGCTTGTATGTTGGGAGATCGTACATGTATGGAAAGCCTGCGGAAGGACATCACTGATCTTCAGGGTATCGTGATTGATGTTTTCTCAAGAGTGGGTGCTGTTAGAGTGCCCTCTTGGAAATTCCCAGATAAAATGTCCTGTGATCTAGACCTGGTACAGTTGCTGGATAGATATGACTATGTGGAGAATGATCCAGAGATCACACAGGTTTCACATATGGTGTTACTGGAGCTTGTGATTGACAGGTATGGTAAATTTATGTAGTTTTGCAATATCTATTGCATAACCCAAATAGAGTTTTTTTTTTTTTTATATATATATATATATATATACACTCACATTTAGGCAGGCCATAGAGGAGTTCTTTGTCAATCGAAAAATAAAAATGGCTCATACGATTGTGCCATATTTGTTTAGTTTCTCGACATAAAACCCGGCATGTTGGATCAGGCACGATTGATTTCGACACAAAAATTGTGTGTTGCAGCTGACACACTAATGATGTGGAAAAAGAACGACCAAGAATTTTCGCTCAGTTTTCGACTTGTCTATGGCCTGCTTTACTCTTAAAAATAAATGTATAACTAATAGCAAAACTTTTTTTCCCTTAGATTTAGGATGAAGAGGTGAGGGGTTGGAACCACTGTCAGGACTTTGTCTGGGTCCCCATTAGAGAGATTTAGAATTTTTAATTCTCCTGACCACCGATGTTACTTGTAATAAACATGACGGTAAATCAGGAATTTTGAGCTGCCACCAAATTCAATGGGGCACTTGTTCCTGACAATTGTCTAAGAGGGGATATTCCTCTTGTTGGAAAGATATCCTCTCACTTTCTGTTGAGTTCAAGAAGTGATGGGATACTTCTGTAATTACATTAGATACAGGTGGCAAAAAAAAGTGATGGCAATCGTAGCCTTACCCTACTCTATCCAAAATGAAAAAAGGTTTTGCCTTTAGATATACTTTAATTCAGGGGTCTCCAAACTGCAGCCCGAGGGCCGGATGTGGCCCTTTGCTACCCTTTATCAGACCCTTGTGTCCCATTGAGACCAACAATGGGGCAGTACTTCTTCCATTGAAACCAATTATGGGGCACTATTCTTCCCACTAATACTATAATGGGGTACTACTCCTCCTACTGACCATCAACCCTGTGGCCATGTTTATTCTCACTGATGCTGGGGACAGGATATTTTTTATCCTCACTGGCCCCAACCCGGCCCTCCTAAAGTCTGAAGGACAGTATACTGGCCCTTTGTTTGACAAGTTTGGAGACCTCTGCTTTAACTGAAAGCTGAATAATTGCATTTTATCCACCATTTTACTGAATGGCCTATGTTCGCTTTTCATTACGTCTATTTATTAGAACTAAATTCCTGGGCTTGATTTACTATGGGTAATTAGGCTGTTCACTTTGCAAGGGAAATTAAACCAGAGCTTAGTGAATGAGAAATTTGACTTTGCAAAGAATACCCAATCACATGCAAGGAATTTTAAAAAAACTGCATTTATGCTTGCATACGATTGGATGATGGAAGTCAGAAGAGCTTCACCTCATTCATTAACCTCTGGGGAAAATTCCTTTGCAAAGTGCAAGAGTATGAACAGTCTATTTGCCTTTAGTAAATTATTATTATTATACAGTATTTATATAGCGCCAAAGGGTATGCTCAGCGCTGTACAGTAGCAAGGGGGACAGAACATGAGACAAGACAGTAACAATACACTACACGAGGGGTTCGAGGGCCCTGCTCTTTCGAGCTTACAATCTAGGAGGGAGGGGAAGGTGGTACAGGAGGAGATGGCTGTGGGGGATGGAGTGGTGGGAGGAGTGGAGGAGGTTAGTTGTTAGGTGAGGTCCGGTGTTAGGTGAGGTTGGGGTAGGCTTCCCTGAAGAGGAGGGTTTTCAAGGTGCGCCTGAAGGTGAGGAGGGTAGGTGACAGTCTGATGGATTGGGGTAGGGAGTTCCAGAGGATGGGGGAAGTCCTTGAGAAGTCCTGCAATCGGGCGTGGGAGGAGGAGACCGGGGAGCTAGAGAGTAGGAGGTCCTGTGAGGAGCGGAGGGCACGGGTAGGGTAGTATTTGGGTATCAGGTCAGTTATGTAGTTCGGGGCGGCATTGTGAATGGCTTTGTAGGTCAGAGTTAGCAGTTTGAATTTGATGCGTTGGGCAATCGGGAGCCAATGAAGGGATTGGCAGAGGGGGGAGGCAGATGTGGAGCGGTTGGTGAGGTGGATGAGTCTAGCCGCTGAGTTTAGGATCGACTGGAGTGGGGATAGCGTTCATTTGGGTAGGCCAGTGATAAGGGAATTGCAATAGTCCAGGCGTGAGATGATGAGGGAGTGTACGAGTTGTTTGGTGGTGTCTGGGGTGAGGAATGTGCGTATCTTGGAGATGTTGCGGAGGTGGAGCCTGCAAGATCTAGATATCAGTTGGATGTGGGGTAGGAAGGAGAGGTGGGAGTCCAGGGTGACACCCAGGACTTTGGCGCGTGGGGTGGGAGAGATGGTGGCATTGTTAGTAGTGATGGAGAGGATGGGGGGGGCACGGGGTGGGGGGAAGACTAGGAGCTCGGTTTTGGATAGGTTAAGTTTGAGGAAATGGAGCGACATCCAGTCTGATATGTCGTTTAGGAGGTGGGCGATACGGGCAGAGAGTAAGGGGGTGAGGTGGGGGGTGGAGAGGTAAATTTGGGTGTCGTCGGCATAGAGGTGGTAATTGAAGCCGTGGGAGTGAATAAGTTTGCCAAGGGAGGAGGTATAGATGGAGAAGACGAGGGGCCCGAGGACAGAGCCTTGGGGGACCCCGACAGAGAGGGGGAGGGAGGGGGAGGTGGCAGTGTTGTAGGTGACGCTGAAGGAGCGTTGGGAAAGGTAGGAGGAGAACCAGGAGAGAGCAGCATCCTTGATGCCAAGGGAGTGCAGTTTGGCAAGGAGGAGAGGGTGGTCAACAGTGTCGAAGGCCGCGGAGAGGTCGAGGAGCAGGAGGATAGAATAGTGGCCTTTGGCGGTTAGCAGGTCAGTGGTGATTTTAAGTAGGGCGGTTTCGGTGGAGTGCAGGGGACGAAAATCTACCTCAAGGTGTACCTAAAGCCAGATTATTTTCTGTGCAGGAATTTGAAACGTATAAAACTCATTGAAGCGGCATGAAACCTGATGTAAACTGATGTCTCTGCAAGTGAAATCTGTGCATCAGTTTCCATCCGTTTTTTCTGCACGTATGGTGTGAACGAGGCCTTAGGCACAACAGGAACAGCATGGAAATCTTTTCAAAGTGAAATGAATCGTCAGTTGTCCTCAGAACAGGTGTCGCTATTGGAACATTTTTCCTTTATTCCTGTTTGGTGACAACGCAGAATTTTGGATTGGGATTTCACAGGTCAAATTCAGGTCAGAAGGGGGGAATCTGAGAGTCAATGCATTCTGAATGAATTCTGAATGATCCCAGAAGTGTGTGAAACTGACGACAAAAACCCAAAGCCCATTGATACAGGCCCTAAACATGTTGATTTGGAACCAGGTTTGATAAAAAATAAAAAATGGCATCCAAGCAACCCTCTGTACAGCCAAGTCAATACATATAGGTGAAATGTCATGCTGTATTCTCACCTGCTTAGGTTTGACATTATGTAAACATTTACTGCTTGTCAATTATCTTCCTATGTGCCCAGGCTGCTTCTCCTGCTTCAGAGTTTTGACATTTACACAGAGTTAATAAAGAATGAAGGTCGGTTCACTCCAGCCCGTAGTCCTGGACCCTCTATGTCCATTGGGCTAACAGTTCGGAAATATTGGAGCAGCATGGTGAAGTTAGGAAGTGTATCCCAAAAAACACAAAGTGGAAAGGTAAACATGGGAACTATTGCTTTTATTTTATGATCAGTTATATATTACATTTGTTTTGAACATTTTACACATTTTCAAAACTGACCTATCGTATTATTATTTTTTCATTATTCGTATAGAGTCTTTATTTTGCAAGTAAACATTTAAAGCCCCATTCTGGGCTTAAACTATTTTTCCCACCCCCCTCTAACCCACCTTTCTAGGCATTTCCCCCCTTACCTTCAGAAGCCAAATATACTCACCTAAGTCCTCTCTCCAGGTCCCTGCCACCATCAGTTTTGGGTGTGAGGGACCATGAATCTAGTGGTGTGAATGGAGCTCAAGAACAGCAGTCCTTTGTCATCCCACTGTGATAAAGTTACCCACTTATGGATCCTGAGATGACTCCACTCCTGGACATCTATTAGGAAGTATCTTTGTCATGCAGGCACTGATATGAACACCTGAAGAAGAGAGAAAGGTTTAGGAGAGAGGCGACATTGAACCCAGAATGGGGCTTTAATATAAGGTGTCTTCATAACAGTTTGTATTCATTCTTGATCTTCTAATAACAAAGCCCAGTTCCTTGTTTACTTGTTGATCACTTCTCTCTATTTGAAAATCCAAACCATCCTGAGCTAGCAGAAAAGGAAGGGATGCATAACTTCGCAGCTTCATTCAACTGTGTGTGTGTGTTTTGAATAGACTTGTTTAGCAAGAGACATAATCACAGAGCCTATTCAAAGCATAGTAAAAAATTAGCTTGATTAAAAACTGAATGTGCTAAATATTGAAAGTGTTACTAAACCCAGGACCCTGCATTCACTATATTTGGTCTCCAACAGTACACAGAACATGAAAATGCAATTATTTTAGTAAATATAAACTGCTAAATACCCTTTCTCATCAGCAGTTAGAACAGTCTTGTGACTTCTATCAGTGTTCAGCAGAGCACTGATTGAAGCTTGTAGGAGGAGTTTTCTCTAGGAGGATGCAGAACCCCTGACCTCTGTCTGGGCAGTGCTGATTGGCCCTGTGCTGATCACATGCACTCTCCCAAGCAAAAAAAACAAACAAAAACCTCACTAGCAATACACACCAAATTGAGCATGTGCAGAGTGTCCCCACATGATATGTCTTATCAGGAAATAAGAGGGGAGCACTGGAAGAAAGCGAGGATCAGAGAAGACAGGGTCAAACAGCCTTTTTACACAATGCAGAGGATTAACTCCTTAGGTTCCACAGTGAGTATAACAAGCATGCTTTACTGCATATACAGACTGATTTTACTGTTGTGGGTTTAGTAACACTGTAGATATTTACCTGATTAGTTTTTTAATTTTTATTTTTTTTGGCCCTGAAGAGCAATTAGGTTTTGTCTTTTATGAAAAAAGGAATTCAAATGGTTGCCCTGAGACGCTTCTTCAGTTGTTTTTGTACCAGTCTTCAGAAAATCATCCCATTTTGTCATGAAAAATAGGAAATGCATGTACACCAAATAGGCAGGGATTTGATTCCTTAGCTATACATTTTACTTAAAGCTGGAAGATATAAAAGATGCAAATTATTGCAACTCTGTAGGCACTCATTCATCATATTTAACATAAAGAGATTCATTTACTAAAACTGAAGAGTGCAAAATCTGGCAGAGCTCTGCACAGAAACCAATCAGCTCAGGTTTTTCAAAGCTTAACTGAACAAGCTGAAGTTAGAAGCTGATTGTCTACCATGCACAGATGCACCAGGTTTATCACTCCAGTTTTAGTATATCAACCCCATACCCTATTTTGTTTTTAATACAAGTAGTGTAAGTACCTAAATGTGACCTGATATTAGTCACTTAAAGTTCCTGTACAGCAGAGCTCAGACTGTGAGAGTGAGAAGCAGCACAATTTGCTGACATACAGTGGGGATCGAAAGTTTGGGCACCCCAGCTAAAAATTTGTATTAATGTGCATAAAGAAGCCAAGGAAAGATGGAAAAATCTCCAAAAGGCATCAAATTACAGATTAGACATTCTTATAATATGTCAACAAAAGTTAGATTTTATTTCCATCATTTACACTTTCAAATTAACAGAAAACAAAAAAATGTCATCTGCAAAAGTTTGGGCACCCTGCAGAATTTATAGCATGCACTGCCCCCTTTGCAAAGCTGAGACCTGCCAGTGTCATGGATTGTTCTCAATCATCGTCTGGGCAGACCAATTGATGTCAAGCTCAAAGGTTTTAAATGCCCAGACTCATGTGACCTTGCCCCAACAATCAGCACCATGGGTTCTTCTAAGCAGTTGTCTAGAAAACTGAAAATAGTTGACGCTCACAAAGCTGGAGAAGGCTGTAAGAAGATAGCAAAGCGTTTTCAGATGTCAATATCCTCTGTTCGGAATGTAATTAAGAAATGGCAGTCATCAGGAACAGTGGAAGTTAAAGCAAGACCTGGAAGACCAAGAAAAATATCAGACAGAACAGCTCGCAGGATTGTGAGAAAAACAATTCAAAACCCACATTTGACTGCACGATCCCTCCAGAAAGATCTGGCAGACACTGGAGTTGTGGTACACTATTCCACTATAAAGAGATACTTGTACAAATATGGTCTTCATGGAAGAGTCATCAGAAGAAAACCTCTTCTACATCCTCACCACAAAAATCATCGTTTGAACTTTGCAAATGAACATATAGACGAGCCTGATGCATTTTGGAAACAAGTTCTGTGGACCGATGAGGTTAAAATTGAACTTTTTGGCCGGAATGAGAAAAGGTACGTTTGGAGAAGAAGGGGCACAGAATTTAATGAAAAGAACCTCTGTCCAACTGTTAAGCATGGGGTTGGATCAATCATGCTTTGGGGTTGTGTTGCAGCCAGTGGCACAGGGAACATCTCACAAGTAGAAGGAAAAATGGATTCAATAAAATTTCATCAAATTTTGGATGGTAACTTGATGCCATCTGTGAAAAAGCTGAAGTTAAAGAGAGGATGGCTTCTACAAATGGATAATGATCCTAAACACACCTCGGAATCCACGGGGGATTACATCAAGAGGCGTAAACTGAAGGTTTTGCCATGGCCTTCACAATCTCCTGACCTCAACATAATTGAAAATCTATGGATAGACCTTAAAAGAGCAGTGCGTGACAGACAGCTCAGAAATCTCAAAGAACTGGAACACTTTTGTAAGGAAGAATGGGCAAAGATACCTCAAACAAGAATTGAAAGGCTCTTGGCTGGCTACAAAAAGCGTTTACAAGCTGTGATACTTGCCAAAGGGGGCAGTACAAGATATTAACTCTGCAGGGTGCCCAAACTTTTGCAGACGCCATTTTTTTGTTTTCGGTTATTTTGAAAGTGTAAATGATGGAAATAAAATCTAACTTTTGTTGACATATTATAAGAATGTCTAATCTGTAATTTGATGCCTTTTGGAGATTTTTCCATCTTTCCTTGGCTTCTTTATGCACATTAATACAAATTTTTAGCTGGGGTGCCCAAACTTTCGATCCCCACTGTATGTTGACAAGTATCATGCTTATAGGAGGAGAAAAGCTCATCATTGTGCTATTCTCCTTCATTGTCCAGTCCAAGCTGGGACCAGGTCTATGGCAGCATGTGCTCAAAGGAACTATGTTGAGAGTGCTGGCCATAATTCAACCTAGAAGAGATCATCTAATGGTGTAAATCAAGCCAGCTTTGGTTTAAAGGTATTGCAACAAAACTATCTTTTGTATCTTTTAATGGCTATTCCTTGTCAATATGTTGTCCGGACGTCTGCTTAGTTATTGCCTATCTTTCTACAGAGAGTCTCTATACAAGACAATACTGTTGTGACTAAAAAGAGTGAAATATCGAAAGATCCTTCCCATTTTTCTGAATCCAGACTTCAGACAGCCCCCACACGTCTTCACAGCTATGGCATTAGTAGCACCTCAAGAGAATCCAGACTTGAAACTATAAAGGACAGACAGAATGTAGGCTCACAGACATTAGAGTCTGCTCTCGTACCGTGTGATGCATGTGCCATTGCCCAGATTAGCTTGAAAGAAGTCAGTGATGCCATTGTTAGTGTATGTAAAAGTCAGAATTTGCCCACATCTCTCACAAAAGTCCAAGACGTTTTACCACCTGGAGGTATTCTGTCTCCCAGTGAAATGCGATACTGGGCCAGTGAAGAGAGCAAGGACCTGGCTCGCATAGCCAAACATCTATCAGAGCTCACCCAACTGATACAACCTCTGAGAAATCAGCTTGAAGATACTAAGGTTGAGAATGAGAGGCTTCAACAAAACATGGAAAGTTTGATGAATCAGCTTCGGGTACAGGAAGAAGAGATGCAAAGACAAGCAAAGGACAATGAAAGGAAGTTACACAAAAAGGGGCAACAGAGTCAGGAACTGATGGACAAGTTGGAGAGGGACAAGGAAGAGCTCAGAAAAGGTATCAGTTAATTAAACCTCCTCCTGGTCACTCAAAGAACACCTTAGTAGGATGTAAGAGTTACTAATTTACTGCAGAGTGTTATTCACTCTATATGTTTGATTTAGGCTCAGCTGTCCTAGAAGAAAGAGTTTCGATCTTGAAAGAGGAACTAAAAATGCAACACTGCACCATCCGAGATCTAGGTGAGGTTCAATGAAAAATGTATTAAAAAGCAAGTGTGAACATACTGTATATGCACTGCTTTTCTACTTTGGTTGCTATGAGCTGCACAGTTGCACAATTCCATATGGACAGTTACAATCAGGTTACATTATTTACAGCTGTATATTAACCTGTACATAACAGCCACGAAAACAAGAAAGAATTAAAAGCTTAGAAAGAAGCCAAAAAATGAACAATGGTGAAAAGGGGGAAATATTGGTAATCAAGAAAAGAACAGCAGAAAGAGAGCTAATCTGTTCAAATATACACACATATATAAATTTACTGTTACCTGCCAGTTTTATCCCCCAGCAAATAAAATAGAAAAAAATATATTTATTAAGGTGACCACAAACCATGAAAGCTGATAGTACTATCTCCGTGTCACATTGCCCTAATGAATGACCCATGTGAGACTCTGAAATGTTACACTTTCCTGTGACTTCAATCATGCTTTAATAAGGAAGACAATTCGCTGGTCAGTACAGCACACTGCATAGGAGGTCAGAACCAATATGGCCTTCAGTGAAGATATGCTGACTGTCGATCAATATTTGGGACATTGAAAGTAAAGGTACCACAGAATTATAATTCAAAACTATCTTTAATATTTATTGAAATAGTACTTTTAAATATCCTTAAGAGGTCCTTATGGGCGTAACAGTTATGAATATTTATAAAGCATTAGGCATTCTCTGTGAACATTCTTAAGCTGGCTATAGGGGGATTGACATTTGTCCAAATCAGCAGGGACTGACTGAATTGTGATCCATCTATGGCCATTCCCACTTGACAGAAGTCGATCTAACAATTGACTTCTGTTGAACAGGACTGTTGGAAAACTTTCTTTTGATGAGCAGCTGCAGTCAATTGGCCTAGTGAATTTTTTTTTGTATACTAAGTGCACAAAGTAATGTGTAAGTGTGACACTTGTTGATATTTATTTTCTCTCAAAGAGATCACTGTACACCTCCTAACAATATCTTCATCTTCCCTTCTCCTCAGAAGGCCAGCACCCTCTTTGCTCAGGCACCATGCAGGCTCAGAATCTTTATCATGGATTAAAATCATTCCCCTAACTGAAATAATCAGGATTTTTCTGAGACACAACTTGATCATTTATACTACTTACACCACTCCAGCTTTGTTGATATGAAGATGGAGGAAAATAGCTATAAATTGCTCACACATTGGTACAGTGTCTCTTCTAGGCAGGCTGTGATTTATCCTTCACTGTCGGATACCTATTGAAGGGCATGTGGCCAGCATGGAATCTTCCTACACATATGGTGGGAATGTCCTAAATTACACCCCTTTGGACATTAGTGCTCAAATTAAAATTATTTTGGATATAGATGTTCCGGACTCACTGCTACACTTCTTGCTGCATGTGTCGTCGATTCCTCTTAAAGTGTGTTTTGTAATTCCAATATATTGCAAGAAGTCCCAGGTGTGGACTCGATATGGCTTGTGATGAATATTATGGAGGTGGAGGGATGGATTGCTAAATGCAAAGACAAATATGACAGATACAGGTACTCCTTGTACCTATAAAGCAGCCATTATGAATGACGGCATTATACTCCTAGAGTTCACCTCTTAGCCTAGGTGCAGGTCTTTAACCTTTCGCTGCCACCAGTGTAACTACTATGTTAGAGGCAGTGCAGACCTTTAAACAACCACTATAGCAGCCTGGAGTTTTTAACCTTTTTAGTCCTGGCTGCTGGCTATGTAATAGCCAGTGATTTAGCTTTAAATCCACCCAATCACTTATACATGGTGGGGAACATGCAGCCTCCCAACCTGACCAACACATATTAGATATTGTACCTTACACCAAAGTAAGATCAATAATTTAGAAGCCATCTGTAAAGGCTTTAAAAGTGTGGTTTACGAACAGTGTTGGGTACCGGTTGTGTGCAAATTTGAGGCTTTACATATTTGGTATCTATTTACTTAATGTAGCCTCATCTATTGTATTTTACTGTAGTACCCTCTAATGCAGACAGTTTTTTTATGTATAGCTAGAGGTTTGCTAGAATCCTGCATGGGAGTCAGCAAGTTTACTTCAAGTTAGGGCTGAAGGGCTCTACAGGTCAGTTCTCTGGTACCTCTTTAAGGGGTTTGTGACACCAGGAGGTGGGATTTAGGGTCATTTGACCGCAAGTAGTGATCGGGACCTTTCCACAAGGTGCCGATAAATATGCTAGGAGTGCGCAGAACGCATGGTCTCGGCACATCTTTTGCTTACATTGGGTCCGCAAAGGCCCAGCCGCCGAGAGGCCGCATATTTGCGTATGCTCGGCACCCAAGAGTTAGTGTTTTAAGTAATATTCAGGCCTAAAATGGGCATTTTATTGTGTGCAAAAAAAATTAAAAAAAAGGCTCTGGCAGCAATGAGGGTTAATGCTACTGTTTAGTAATAAAAGCTACATTTTATTTGAAAAGCATACTGTTGTATACTGTGATTATTTTTCTTAGACCCAAATTGTTCCTTCAAGTGCATCACTGAATTAAAAATGATTATGAATTAGTCCATACTGAAAGATCTGTATTCTGCAGAACTGGCAAGACAAAGACTGGTAAATGAGATGCAAAACATGGTGCACAAGGAAGAGGTCTCTACTCTGGAAAAGAAAATGAATGATTTAAAAGTACAGTTAGACAACACACTGCAGAAACTACATGAATCAGCAGAGGCAGTATCTAAAGAGCGAGCACGAGGAGAGAACCTTCAGATCCAAAAAGAGGTGAGTGCCTCCAACCATCTAAATGAAAAATTAGATTTTTCCATTTACTGTAAAATTTTTTTTTTTTTTTAGTCCATTAAAGGTCAAAGGAATTCAGCAACACTCTGTTTATACTGCTTTTGGAACACTGGCACACAGAATAGTTGTAAACCAACTTCCATACAACCCAGTTTAGTGGGAAAGCAATACACAAGGCCAGCAAAAAACACAAAAAGATGGGATCTGTGTTCTTTGAGGTACACGTTAAAAAAAAAAAAAAAATTAATGTAAGTACACATGCTGTATCTTGTTTTCTCCATTGCTCATTGAAGGATGTAGCAAAAGCAGTCCAGCAGTGGGCAATAGCCACTGACAATAAATTAACAATGTAAAATGGTCAAAAGAAAAAACACTGGTGCAATTACCAAGGGAACTGGTCCACAAAGGGAACGTGGACCAAAAGTGCTGAATCAGTAAGATTAGAAACAACATATTCACAAACCTGGGAAAGTGGTGCTGCTGAGGATTTCAGGCAGCAGGAGGTGACCCAGTGCAGCAGCGGGATGGTGCTTCCTCTAGCCTGAAAAGCGGAAGAAGACGCATGGAGCATGCAGCAGTCAACCCAGCCAATAGTGTCAGTGTTTGATCCCTTAGCCTTTACCCTTTCCGTGACAAAAAAAACAGTGGTGGGAAATTAGAAATAGTGAAGTATCTCCTGGTGTTTTAGCCTGTCTGGCCCTACTCACTAATTGAGCCTTTAGAGGCAGGATCACACATTGGGCTTTGCCACATCTCTGGACCAACAGCTAACAACACATAGCTACATAGTTAGGTTAATAAAAGACACAAGTCCATCTAGTTCAATCAATAGTAAAAAAAACAAATATATATGCACAGTCCTATACTGTCCTATACTACACAGTACCCTAAGGTCTGGAAAGTGCCAATGTCCAAAGGTCACATTCAAGGCTAGCCCTGCACATCCAGTCTTGTAAATGTGACCTCAAAAGCTGTTGCTGAGGAATTGCCGATCTGGATAGCTGCTATGCAAACACTAGCTCAAGCAGCTGTGTAACAAGGAATCTTGATTTGGATCACCAACAAAAATATAATCAGCGTTGTAGCACAAAATCTTGATTCAAGTTACTAAAGGCATAATTCCACAAAGTTGGAAGGTCAGCAGAAAATGTTAGACTTTTTTCATCAGAGCTGAAGAAAGGGTATCCAACCTCCTCGGATACTAGCAAACCAAAGCTATATAACCTGACTGTTTCTGAATTCTTGTGGGTCCCTCAATCAACTATGGAGAAGTTTAGCACAATTTTGCCACACAAAAGTGTGACGCCTAATTTTTTCCATTTGGATTCCCAAGGTTGAACTCTATCACCCCTCCCCCAAGATAAAAATTAGCTATGGCCCTGGGTAGTAATAGTATCTCGGGATAAACTGTGTAAAAACAATTGCATATATGACAGTTCAGGAACCTAAAACCTATTGTTATGAATGTAACTAGTATATTTTAGTATTCGTTGTTACTCTGAAAAGATCCAGGTCTCAGTAGTGAAAATGACTTAAAGTGTTACAAAACCCACAACAGCAAAATCAGTCTGTATATGCCGTAAAGCATGCTTGTTATACTCACTGTGGAAACTAAGGGGTTAATTCTCTGCATTGTGTAAAAAGGTTGTTTGATCCTTTCTTCTCTGTTCCTCCCCTTTTTCAAGCGACCATCACTTATCTCCAGACTGAACCGTAGGCATGCACATGCTCAGTTTGGTGTATATTGCTAGAGAGGTTTTTTGTTTTTCTTGGGAGAGTGCATGTGATTAGCACAGGGCCAATCAGCGCTGTCCAGACAGAGGTCAGGGGATTTCCATCCATCTAGAGCAGAAAGAAAACTCCTCCTACAAGCTTTAGCTAGTGCGGGGCTGAACACAGAAGCTACAAGATTGCTCTAACTTCTGATGAGAAGAGGTCTTTAAAAGTTTATATTTACTAAAATAATTGCACTTCCATGTTCTGTGTACTGTGGGAGACCAGATATAGTGGATGCAGGGTCTTGGGTTTAGTAACATTTTAATATGGTTATACCTATGCACTGAAATGCATACAGTTTTTGCTTTATGCTGCTGTTTGTGGCTTTTTTTTTTTAGAATAGTCTATTCCATTTCTCTGGAGTCTTAGCAGACAAATATCTGTTGCGGTATTCTATTTCTCCAATAATTGTCTTCAACCCCTTTCCAATGAACCCCAGTCCCTGCAGGCAAAGCAGAAATCCTTGTTGCAACAGTTGGATCGGCTGTCACAAGAGTGTGAAGACTTACGAGGCAGTCTGGGTGATGCAGAAGAGGAAAAAGCAAAGCTGGAAGAGCAAATAGAACAAATAGAAAAAGAGGAGGAAAACCTGAAGAGACAACTGAAGGATCAGCAAGTACTGCCACATACAATATTTAGTCTGCCAAAATAAGGAATTTTGCCTGACAGAATTCTGCCCTTGGCAGTTTAAGCTATTCACAGCAGGTAAATCCTACTATTTTCATCCACTGCTTGTAGGAGATGGTGAGGATACTTCAGAAAGAGAAGGTGACAATTGAGAAGTCTGTGACAGAAGTGACCAAGCAACTTACAGAACTACAAGGATGTTTGCAGGAGCAGAAAGAAAGGGAGAGATTGTTGATATCATACCCAGACTTACATCCTCTACCAGAATTTGAAAGTAAGATTTTATAATGGAAACTGGACTTGAGCCATTTCCTTGTCAGTTCTGTAAAGAGAATGTCATAGTTACATAACTTAAAAGGTTGAAAAAAGACCCCGGTACATCCAGTTCAACCTATGTGTTTGTGATTGTTATTCTCTAACAATTACCCTAACCCTGTATATTCACATACCATGTTTTCTAAAGGGCTATAATTATTGATTTATCTCTAGAATGTATGCTCTGTTTACTGGATGACAGTAATTTGCTAGCTTTGTTAGCTGTGACGTGGTATTACATGCTATTGCTAAGTCTATGTTTTACAAGTACCCCCAGATCTTTCTCCATCACCAATTCTCTCAGAGGAGCCCACTCTAATGTACCATTTCCATGTGTAGTTTTGTCACCCAAATCACTTTATATTTCTGATATATTGAACCTCATCTGCCATGTAGCTAATCCAACTCCTATTTTGTCAAGATCTTACTTTAATGATGCTATATCTGTGAAGGTCGCGGCGTCAGACCCCAGCCCTTCTCACCAAACTTGTGACCGAAGGACTAGCCAATCTAAAACCGCGCTGGCACGTGCGTAACAATGCCACGCCCAGCTGCACCCTGCACAAAGATTTTCCAGCTAATGGACCACAATCTGTGTACCTGCAGCCTGGGAGCGATTGTTACTGGGTCAGTTTAATTACGCAATTAACCCTTCACACTGCCACCACCTCCTTTTTGTACAGAGAAAGAGGAAACTCGGCAATAATAGCAATAACACTATGATGTTTGAATAATTGTTTGTATACACAATGTCACCGCAGACAGATGTATGCAGACGTTTTAAAACACAGGAGCTCTTTAGAAGCAGGGATTCTTAGTTTGCATTAAAGAACTTTAGAAACCGTTCAACACTTTCAGAAAGTAAGATTTATTACTAAAAGGTCAAAAGGGTGCAATAAAAATATTTACAGAAAAAGATGTAGCCAATATATATATATATATATATATATATATATATATATATATAAATATACAGAGAGCAATAACACAGCAAAGAGATAACAGAAAGAAGTTTAGAGAGATAAAGTACTTGCCAAAAGTCCTGGGTTAAGCAGATCAAGTTTTCTGAGCAAAAGGGCCTTGTCTCCCAAAGTTAGTTCCGATGTTTAAAAGGAAGCTTCTTCAACTTCAACTCAACTCAGCTTAGCTTAGCTTACTGCTCCAAGCATAACAGCCTTTTTCTAGGAACTCAGCAGGGTGTATCCTTGAAGCAGAGAACCAATCGCCTCATTTGGGGGGGAGTTGTAGGCGGAGACCCCAGCTAGAACCAAAATCCCTCGCAGCATATATCATGACCCATAACTTACCCTCGGTGCATTTAGCAGCCTAGCCACTAGTAGATTGATATGCAGAAGCATCTGCTGAATGTCTAGATATGAAATATGACATACCTGCTTAGGGTGGTTAAGGAGATATCATTTTCTGCTCTCCTGTAGATTCCAGCTAGGGGGTGTAATATATCAGACGACTTGTCTTAAAGTGACCGATCTGAATATATGCCTGGGCTCCTTGTAAGTCTTACATATTCCAAGATATGAAATCATAGGGGAAAGGGGATTTTGAATGTGATGTCTGTTTTACGGCTTATCTGGAATGTCTTTGAAGCTCAGTGAAGGACTTGGTTTATGGCTTTACGATATCTCAGATTGAGAAGCTAACAGACACCTGGGCACCAGCTAGTGTGGGATTTATAACCCTGGAGCTCTCCCGCTGAGCCTGATTGCCTGTGATCTCTGCATCATACAGACCACATGTCACTCAACAGAGAGGGAGGGAGGATTTGGAGGGAAGCTGATTTGGGAGTAGAAATGATACAAGATGGAGGCCTTTGCCAAAATGGAGGTTCACATTCATCTCTGTGTGCACGATTGCTACAATATCCTGTGCTGAGTTATTTCCTTGCATAATTTGGTATACTCAGAAAACAATGAAAGTGAACTCTGGATTGCAACCTCTATATCAGTGGTTCTCAACCTTTCTAACGCCGCGACCCCTTAATACAGTTCCTCATGTTGTGGTGACCCCCAACCATAAAATTATTTTCGTTGCTACTTCAGAACTGTAATTTTGCAGTGGGAGGAATAGTGCCCCATCATTGGTATCAGTGGGAGGAATAGTGTCCCGCCATTGGTGTCAGTGGGAGGAATAGTGCCCCATTATTGGTATCAGTGGGAGGAATAGTGCCCCATCATTGGTATCAGTGGGAGGACTAGCGCCCCATCACTGATGTCAGTGGGAGGAATAGTGTCCCATCGTTTGGTATCAGTGGGAGGAATAGTGCCCCATCGTTGGTGTCAGTGGGAGGAATAGTGCCCCATCATTGGTATCAGTGGGAGGAATAGTGTCCCATCATTGGTGTCAGTGGGAGGAATAGTGTCCCATCATGGTGGTGTCAGTGGGAGGAATAGTGTCGCAGTTTGGGAAATAGTGCCCCATCATTGGTGTCAGTGGAAGGAATAGTGCCCCATCATTGGTGTCAGTGGGAGGAATAGTGTCCCATCATTGGTGTCAGTGGGAGGAATAGTGCCCCATCATTGGTGTCAGTGGAAGGAATAGTGCCCCATCATTGGTGTCAGTGGGAGGAATAGTGCCCCATCATTGGTGTCAGTGGGAGGAATAGTGCCCCATCGTTGGTGTCAGTGGGGGGAGGAATAGTGCCTATCGTTGGTGTCAGTGGGGGGAGGAATAGTGCCTATCATTGGTGTCAGTGGGGGGAGGAATAGTGCCCCATCGTTGGTGTCAGTGGGGGGAGGAATAGTGCCCCATCGTTGGTGTCAGTGGGGGGAGGAATAGTGCCCCATCGTTGGTGTCAGTGGGGGGAGGAATAGTGCCCCATCGTTGGTGTCAGTGGGGGGAGGAATAGTGCCCCATCGTTGGTGTCAGTGGGGGGAGGAATAGTGCCCCATCGTTGGTGTCAGTGGGGGGAGGAATAGTGCCCCATCGTTGGTGTCAGTGGGGGGAGGAATAGTGCCCCATCGTTGGTGTCAGTGGGGGGAGGAATAGTGCCTATCGTTGGTGTCAGTGGGGGGAGGAATAGTGCCTATCATTGGTGCCAGTGGGAGGAATAGTGCCCCATCGTTGGTGTCAGTGGGAGGAATAGTGCCGCATCGTTGGTGTCAGTGGGGGGAGGAATAGTGCCCCATCGTTGGTGTCAGTGGGGGGAGGAATAGTGCCCCATCGTTGGTGTCAGTGGGGGGAGGAATAGTGCCCCATCGTTGGTGTCAGTGGGGGGAGGAATAGTGCCCCATCGTTGGTGTCAGTGGGGGGAGGAATAGTGCCCCATCGTTGGTGTCAGTGGGGGGAGGAATAGTGCCCCATCGTTGGTGTCAGTGGGGGGAGGAATAGTGCCCCATCGTTGGTGTCAGTGGGGGGAGGAATAGTGCCCCATCGTTGGTGTCAGTGGGGGGAGGAATAGTGCCCCATCGTTGGTGTCAGTGGGAGGAATAGTGCCCCATTGTTGGTGTCAGTGGGGGGAGGAATAGTGCCCCATCGTTGGTGTCAGTGGGGGGAGGAATAGTGCCCCATCGTTGGTGTCAGTGGGGGGAGGAATAGTGCCCCATCGTTGGTGTCAGTGGGGGGAGGAATAGTGCCCCATCGTTGGTGTCAGTGGGGGGAGGAATAGTGCCCCATCGTTGGTGTCAGTGGGGGGAGGAATAGTGCCCCATCGTTGGTGTCAGTGGGGGGAGGTATAGTGCCCCATCGTTGGTGTCAGTGGGGGAGGAATAGTGCCCCATCGTTGGTATTAGTGACACAAATGATGGGGCACTATTCCTCCCACTGACACCAATGATACTTACCTTGCTGACCCCTGCTCCAGCCTGGGCTCGCTCTCTCCCTCTCCCATCTACAGCCTGCAGAAGCAAAATTTGCACTTACCTGTCAGCTGTCTTCCTTCTCTGGCCTCTCTCCTCTTCACTCGGTCCTGCAGCTCCCTCGATCTTCTTCGATCTGCGCGCTCTGCCGCTCGGCTCCTCCTCTCCAAGCTCCACCTCCTCGCCGGTGATTGGCCGCCTGTGTGCCTCTCCTGAGCTACAGTTCCGGTGGCCAATCAGCGGCGAGGAGGCGGAGCTGTTGAGTGATCCCGGAGGTGTGGCCAGGTTACAGGGGCAGCATATCATCCCGCCCCACAGATCGCGAGACAGAGCAGCGGTGTCTCGGTTCCTAAGACCATCGGAAATATGTTTTCCGATGGTCTTAGGCGACCCCTGGGAAATGGTCGTTCGACCCCCAAAGGGGTCGCGACCCCCAGGTTGAGAACCGCTGCTCTATATCATTAATAAACAAATTGAACAGCATTGGTCCAAAGACAGAACCCTGGGGGCACACAACTCACAACTTTAGACTGTTCAGAGAACGAGTCACTTATCTTTACTCTCTGGACTCATTCATGTAACCAGTTTCCTATCCATGTACATACCATTTACATGCCACAAATAGTCTTTAACGGCATGTTATAATCTGATTACAGAACCAAATATTACCATCCTCTTCATAGGCAGTGTCCAGGAGGCTTCCTGTCAACATCAGTAACCAGAGGAGAATTAAAGGAAGACGTTCGGCATATAGGCTTTTGGCTAAAATTTAGCTCCCTGTCACTCTCAGGGAATTGGGGGGCAGGGGGAGATTTTGCTAACAAAGTAAGGTGTTGATAACCTGACGACTAAATTATTCTTCTTGAATCAAGCATGTGAAAAGATCATAGGGATGCAACTGATGTTAATTTGCAAGACTTCCTTGGTTATTTTTATGAATGCCTTTTAGTTGCACTTGTTTTAGATTGTTTATAATGTGTACATGATGATCACATTACCAAATTACCACACCAAATTTTCACAGTAACCAGATTAAGGGATCATGTCGCCAGAAAAATAGCTACTGCAGTTATAAAGAGGTGCCTGCACATAGCTAAAGCAGCCTCAAAAGCATGCAGATACAGTCATGGCCGAAATTGTTGGCACCCTTGATATTTCTCCAGGAAATCATGTATTTCTCACGAAACGTATTGCATTAACACATGTTTTGCTATACACATGTTTATTCCCTTTGTGTGTATTGGGACAAAACAAAAAAAGGGAGGAAAGAAAGCAAATTCGACATAATGTCACACAAACCTCCAAAAATGGGCTGGACAAAAGTATTGGCACCCTTTCACAACTGCGGATAAAATAAGAATGTTACAAGCATGTGATGCTCCTGTAAACTCACCTGGGGCAAGTAACAGGTGTGGGCAATATAGAAATCACACCTGAAAGCAGATAAAAAGGAGAGATGTTCACTTAACCTTTGCATTGTGTGTCTGTCTGTGCCACACTAAGCATGGACAACAAAAAGAGGAGACGAGAACTGTCTGAGGACCTGAGAACCAAAATTGTGGCAAAATATCAACAATCTCAAGGTTACAAGTCCATCTCCAGAGAACTAGATTTGCCTTTGTCCACAGTGCGCAACATTATCAAGAAGTTTGCAACCCATGGCACTGTAGCTAATCTCCCTGGTCGTGGACGGATGAGGAAAATTGATGAAAGATTGCAACGCAGAATAGTCCGGATGGTGGATAAGCAGCCCCAAACATGTTCCAAAGACATTCAAGCTGTCCTGCAGGCTCAGGGAGCATCAGTGTCAGCGCGAACTATCCGTCGACATTTAAATGAAATGAAACGCTATGGCAGGAGACCCAGGAGGACCCCACTGCTGACACAGAGACATAAAAAAGCAAGACTACAGTTTGCCAAAATGTACTTGAGTAAGCCAAAAGCCTTCTGGGAAAACGTCTTGTGGACAGATGAGACCAAGATAGAGCTTTTCGGTAAAGCACATCATTCTACTGTTTACCGAAAACGGAATGAGGCCTACAAAGAACAAAACACAGTACCTACGGTAAAATATGGTGGAGGTTCAATGATGTTTTGGGGTTATTTTGCTGCCTCTGGCACTGGGTGCCTTGACTGTGTGCAAGGCATCATGAAATCTGAGGATTACCAAAGGATTTTGGGTCGCACTGTAGGGCCCAGTGTCAGAAAGCTGGGTTTGCGTCCAAGATCCTGGTCTTCCAGCAGGACAATGACCCCAAACATACGTCAAAAAGCACTCAGAAATGGATGGCAAAGAAGCGCTGGAGAGTTCTGAAGTGGCCAGCAATGAGCCCAGATCTAAATCCCATTGAACACCTGTGGAGAGATCTTAAAATTGCTGTTGGGAAAAGGTGTCCTTCCAATAAGAGAGACCTGGAGCTGTTTGCAAAGGAAGAGTGGTCCAAAATTCCGGGTGAGAGGTGTCAGAAGCTTATTGATGGTTATAGGAAGCGACTGATTTCAGTTATGTTTTCCAAAGGGTGTGCAACCAAATATTAAGTTAAGGGTGCCAATACTTTTGTCCAGCCCATTTTTGGGGTTTTGTGTGACATTATGTCATATTTGCTTTTCTCTGCCTCTGTTTTATATTTGTTCCAATACATACAAAGGGAATAAACATGTGTATAGCAAAACATGTGTTAATGCAATACCTTTTTTGTGTGAAATACTTGATTTTCAGGAAGAATATCAAGGGTGCCAACAATTTCGGCCATGACTGTAAAGTCAGATGCTGGGCAGCTGTGAAAGGCAATGCTCTGGTGCTTCTGCTTTGTGTCACAACTTGTCATTAAGTCTCGCCTCCTCATTTTATAGACTTCCGTTTTATAGGGCAAAGCAATGTGTGAGCTGCAGCAGCTCAAAGCAAGAAATTCATTTTTAAAGTGGAATTCCAGTCAAATACTAACAAAGTCTAAACCTACTCCCACCCCCATTCTAAGACTAATCTATCTACTTAAAGGAAATATGTCTATACTTACCTATTCTGAGGCCGGTCCGGTCACATGATTAGGTCCCAGCACCAGTTTCAGTGTAGAGAAGGGACAGCCAACAACGGATGCCCCATAGTAAGCCTATGGTGACGTCATCACCCAAGCTCTACAGCCACTGTCGGCGATCTCTCCTTTTTACTGAAGCTGGCTGCTGGAGAGATCATGTTAGTGCCCTCAGAATAGACTTCTTTCCTTTACAAGGTAGTTAGAATATGCTTAGAATGTAGGTGAGAGTAGGTTTAAGCTTAGACTTTAAAACTCACTAATGTAAACTAATAAAAAGTGAAATATACTAATATAACTTAATTTAATGCACATCAGTGTTTTGTCCCATATTAAAAGAATGGTGTATTTGTTACTGTAATGATGATTTTGAAAAACAAAAGATTTTTATTAATTATCTTGAATGTTTCATTATATGACTTTATGGTGACATTCTTAAGGTTCTGGTGATATCACTGAAGATATGGAAAAACAGCTCCAAGCAAACAGCATTCGTATCAACATTTTAGAGGAAGAAAACACCAAACTGAGAGCCAGTCTGCAGAAACTGGAAGAAAAGAGCAAACAAGGGCCACTTCAGGTGAGTGCCACAATCTATGCAGCCAGTGGAATGCAACTTGATACTTAACTGACGTAAAAGAACAAAGTGTTCATACTGAACATTTACAGGTATTGTAATGTATGCTTGTATTGTGATGAACTGTAAATATGAGAACACTAAATCTATCTGACAAGAATACCTGGATCACAAAATTAGCTGAAAAAATATATAATCCTGTGTGAGACTTTGAAGAAAGGGGTTAGCTGCCTCCAGCCTCATAGCTAGTTATCTGGACCCTGGCAGGTGTTTTTTTTTTTTACATTTTCTTTACAGTCAAAACATTCTAAAGTCTAAATACATGGCTTTTATGGAGAAGAAAAAGTGATAGCTCAGTTAAAATACTTCTAGGTTTACACTTGTGCGTTTGGTTGCAGCTGCGGGATGGCACCTGTTCCCAAAGTTGCAACCACCTGCATAAAGAAACATGCTGCCGCTCAGGAGATTCGTGGGTGTACCATTAATCCTAATGGCACCCCCACGCAGTAGAAACCGCAGCAGGTTTTCCACACTGCTCTATGCGTCTTCCCTTCGGCTGTGTTTTCTATAAAGGTTTTCAGTGTATACAGCAGCCCAACAAATGAATGGGCTGCTGTGCACAAGCAAAGCAGCCGCAGGGAAACCGCATAAAATGTGAACCAGGGCAGTACTAATTCTTAAAATGAAAAATAATCTCTTTATGCTTGTACCTCCAGGTAACTTTACCTATCTTTCTTGTTCCTGTCTGCTGACCTGATCCTCACTACTACCATCTTAAAAATCTGGGTACTTCTTGGAATGGAGAATAGGAGAACATTTGGCACTCTGCCTGACTTCTCATATTGCAGTGGTTATGCTGAGCAGCTAACCACCAGGCCAAAGCTCTGTAACACTGAGGCAAAAGAGTTTAACGGTGTGTAGGTGTTTTCTCTGGGTAGGGCGAGTACTTGCCTAAAATTTTTGCAAAAGCTGCAGTGGGGTGGGGGCAGCAAAACAGAATTGGGTAAGGTAAGTTAAAGGAAACCTTTCCTGAGAAAGACATGGGGGATAGTAGTACTTTGTTTTCGTGCTGGTTTGCTAACTGTCATGTTTACCCCTTTGCTTCAGGACATTGTGTCCCTTACCTGGAAAAAGCATATAAAATAAGAATGTCTTTATTCTGACTTTGCAGATATGTATGCTTGTTTCAGATCAGTGGCTCACATTTTACGGAACTCAATTGGTCAATGTACAATATTAGCCAGACACAGCTAACACCTCCCAAAGGGGAATGGCAACCACAGCTCCATGGGTCTCTCAGGAAAGGTTTGCTTTAAAGTTACTGTCACTGCTGACAGCTGATCATGTGCTTAGAGGTGATTGCCTATACTTGCAACCATATAATGTGTCCCTGAGATGCCTTAATGCCAAGCAGTTGTGTTCAGGCAAAGACTCCACCATTTCCTGGTAAATACCAATAAGAAACCCAACTCCAACATTTCCTGTCAGTGTCAGAATTTTAGTATTTCTGTTTGCCCATAAACATGAAACTCTTTGGACAACAGGAATGTGTGGGAGGAGGAAAGAGTTAGACACTTCCAGGATATCCTTAACTTATGCCTTATCAGTATGGCCTGTGATTTGGGCAAACCAGGGACACTGAAAGTTGTTTCCTGTATCTCTAGGTGCCTGCATTCTATACCTGTGAGTAGGTTTTCTGTGGTTGTTAAAGCAAGAGTGCAACTTTAGGGTACCAGAGGGTTCATGCTGTACACTGGGGATATATTTTTGCTCTCACAGACATGCTTTAAAGAGTATTTCCACTTTTGCAGCCAAATTGGGATAATATCAGCTTTATTATTGTTGCATGTTCGCATAACTCTAATGCTCTTTCTTTATCGTACATCACAGGACACAGAGCAGGCTATTCATGACTATGTGGATTATAGGCCACTTATAGGTGAATGGACCAACCAATCAGAGAGGAGGTCCTCCCCTATATAACCCCTCCGATACAGGAAGTTTCACCACATACAGGTCCCAGCCTCCAGATGTAGGTCTCAAAATCAAAACCCAAGGAGGCCCTGGGTACAAAAGTCGTCTAAGACAGATCCAAAGCCCACCTCCTTATAAAGGTGCACCCCCACTTGTTTGGGTGGGGGGAAGGCTTTTGAATTTTTTTTTGGCCGTATAGAGGGTTCTAATCTAAGACAAAAGGGTAATTTCCATGATTTCTCTGGGGTACAGACTAGAATTTTGGATATTTCCCTCTCCCCAGTTTCTAAGATCAAATGTTTCCAACGAATCCAGAGAAAAGAAGAGCTTTATTTCAGGCATTTGATTGCCTATTGCCTCAATGAGTAATCACAGAGGTTCCAGCAGATGAAAGGTTTTAGGGGTTTTATTCAAACCTGTTTACAGTCCCAAAACCAAATGGGGATGTAAGGCATATTTTGGACCTCAAGGGGCTAAATCAGTTCCTTTCGTATGGAATCTGTTCGGTCAGTAGATTTTTTTAGCATCCATAGACATCAAGGATGCATACCTGCATGTACCGATTTTCATTCCTCACCAAAGATTTCTGTGGTTTGCAGTAGGGGCTCAGCATTTCCAGTTCATAGTACTACCGTATGGGCTGGCCACAACTCCCAGAGTTTTCACAAAAAAATCTTCCTCTGGGTGGTGGGGCTACTCAGAACTCGGGGAGTATCGGTCATAGGTTATCTAGACGATCTCTTGTTTAGAAATCAGTCGGTGCCAAATCTGAGGCAGGAAGTTGTCCTTACGATGCAGATCCTGGAACAGCTGGGCTGGGTGCTCAACCTCAAGAAGTCGGTCCTGGAACAAGTGCAGAGCCTGGAATTTTTGGGGATGGTCCTAGACACAGTTCAGGCAAAGGTATTTCTGCCTCCAGGGAAATGTTGCGCCCTGAAGAACGAAGTTTGCAGTTTGAAGGCCAAGAGGTATCCTTCAATTGGTCTTTGTATGAGGTTGTTAGGGAAGATGGTGTCCTGATTCGAGGCTATTCCCTATGCCCAATTTCACTCCAGACCACTGCAAAGGTACATTCTGTCTGTTTGGAACAAGATTCCAGCTCTGGATTACTGCATATCTCTGTTTCCAGTGGTGCAGGAAAGCCTGAATTGGTGGTTGATAACACAGTTTGTAGATGGGAAGATCCTTACGGCTAGTGTTGTGGAAGTTGGTAACCATCAATGCCAGCCTTTCAGGTTGGGGGGCCATTCTAGAGGAGGCCACAGTGCAGGGAACATGGCTTTCACGGGAAAGGGTTTTTTGCATCAATGTCCTGGAACTTCGAGTAGTGAGAATGGCTCTGAGGTATTGGACATCCAAGCTTCAGGGTTGGCCTGTAAGGATTCAGTCCGACAATGCCACAGCAATGGCATACATCAACCACCAGGGCGATATCAGGAGTCAGGATGCTCAGAAGGAGGTGAACTACATTCTGACCTGGGCAGAGAGATATGTTCCAAGTCTGTCAGCAGTGTTCATTCTTGGTGTGAAAAATTGGCAGGCAGATTATCTCAGTCGCCAGTAGTTGATTCCAGGGAATGGACTTTGCATCCTGATGTTTTCAAGGAAATCCGCCAGCAATGGGGTTGCCCGGATGTAGACCTATTGGCATCCAGGTTCAACAACAAGGTCAGTCTTTTTGTGTCCAGGGTAAGGTACCCTCATGTGGCAGGGGTGGAAGCCTTAGTGATTCCTTGAAACCAGTTCTCACTGATTTATGGCTTTCCTCCGAACCAACTGCTGCTGCGTCTCTTATACAGGATTATAGTGCTCTGGCCTGGCCCAGGTGGGCCTGGTACGCAGACATAGTGAAGATGGCAGTAGATGGGCCGTGGGCCCTGCCATATCAGCCAGTCCTGTTGTCTCAAGGTCCTATATTGCACCCAGCTTTACAGTCGCTACATTTGATGGTGTGGCTATTGAAACCCAGATCCTGAAGGATAGCGGAGTGTCGGATTCTGTCATCTCCATCATGTTGGATGCTAGTAAGGTAGTTTCTAGGAACATTTATTATAGAACCTGGAAGGCTTACATTGCCTGGTGTGAGGTTCTCAAATGGTACCCATAAAAGTATGTGATTGGCAGGATTCTGTCGTTTCTTCAAACAGGGTTACAGAAGAATTTGGCTGTTGGTACCATTAAGGGCCAGGTTTCAGCATTAGCTATGCTATTCCAGAGGCCCATTGCATCTCACAGTTTGGTCCGCACTTTTTTACAAGGAGGGATGCATATTGCTCCTCCTGTCAGGTTGTGTCCTTGGAACCTGAATTTGGTTTGGGAGGTTTTGCAAAAGCCACCATTTGAACCCATTGAAGAGATTCCACTGGTCCTTTTGACTCGTAAGGTGTTGTTTTTAATGGCAATCACTTCTGTGAAAAGGGTGTCAGAGCTGGCAGCTCTGTCTTTCAGAGAACCATTTCTGGTTTTGCATCATGATAAGGTGGTGTTGCAAGCTCATCCCTGCTTTTTACCAAAGGTGGTTTCTAGTTTTTGTCTCAATCAGGGCATAGTTCTGCCTTCATTCTTTCCTAGTCCTCAGTCAGCACAGGTCAGGAGGTTAGATGCTCTATTTGTGCTGCCAGAGGGGCCTAGGAAGGGGCAGGCAGCATCCAATGTGACTATTTCTCATTGGATCTGTCAATTGATCATTCAAGCCTATGGTTTGAAAGGTAAAGTCCCTCCCTTTTGGATGCAGGCACACGCTACCAGGGGCGTGGGGGCATCTTGGGCAATCCGCCATCAGGGGTCAGTGGCTCAGGTTTGCAATTCTGCTACATGGTCTTTGATTCACACATTCACAAGGTTCTACCAGGTGGATGTCACAGCCGCAGAGGATATTGCCTTTGGTCGCAGTGTTTTACGGGAGGCTGAGTAGGTCCTGAGGGATTATGGATGGTGGCTATCATGGTGTCACCCTCCCCTCAAATTTCTTATTGCTTTGGGACATCCCGCATAGTCTTTAATAGCCTGCTCTGTATCCCGTGATGTACGATAAAGAAAATTGGATTTTTTTTCTACATACTTGCCTGTAAAATCCATTTCTTGGAGTATACCACGGCACACAGAGGTCCTGCTCCTCTTTCTGGAATTTTCATTGCTTACTACAAAAACTGAAGTACTTCTTGTATAGGAAGGGTTATGTAGGGGAGAAGACCGCCTCTCTGATTGGTCTGCCAGTATCCATTCACCTATAGGTGGCCTATAACCCACATAATCATGAGTTAGCGTGCTCTGTGTCCCATGCCGTATTCCAAGAAATGGATTTTACAGGTAAGTATGTCAAAAAAAAATCAAATGTTTCTGATTCTAGCACTGAAAAATCCTACTTGGTTCTCTTTATTTGTGAAGGTGCTGGGGGGCTGTGTTTGCTATAATTAACCCTACCTGTACTCTGTAGATCTCATTATGAGTTGAAAACTAGATTTGAGCACAAAATCTAAACTAGGGTTGCAGATTTGAAAGCAGGCTTTCGGAATTATACATTAATGAGAGGAAACTCAGTTTTGCCTTAAAGCCAAACTCCAGGATATTAGCCATTCCCCTCCCTCTCCCCTATAACTAACTGCTAGTATGAAAAAACGAACTAAATGCCCATTTTACTTAACTTAAGCCATAGTAATATGATGAGCCTTCTCTCTTCTTACTAGGGTACTTCTTCAAGTGTCCCACATCACTGCTTGCATGATGTGGACATCACATATTGGTGGAGCTAACACTTGCAGCAACCAGGACCTTTCTCATAAGCTCCAGAGGCAGGAACTCATAAGGGAAGGGAGGGAAGTGAATGGACCAGTGCCCAAGAAAATAACGGCATAGAATATGTCTGGTTCCCAGGTTGGGAAATTAGTTTGTTCATGGAGGAAACTGTGTCTTTGATCCATTACACTGCAAGATGGCTTAGGAAGAGGTGTTTGGAATCAAGAATCAGGGGTAAAGTAATTGATGCACAATGGAACATTTCAATTTAATTTATTCCTGGAGATTATTTCTATGCCTTTCTCTTGGAACAGACTCAATCTTAAATTGTTCAGAAATGCTTACAGTTGGCCATAAGACCTTCTCCCCAGAAACATCTAAAAGAAGAATATTTTTTTTAGGCATGCTCTCTGAATGGGAACACATAACAAACATATAGTGTGGTTTTCTCAAATTATACTGCAAAAGTAGAAATACACTTTATATGCAACCAGTTTGGATTCTGATTGGTTGTAAAGGAGATTACTGCACTTAAGGACTGATACTTAGGAAATTTTACTGAAGTACTATAGTTCTATACAAAATAGTCTGTCTGTAGATACATACATTTTGCTGTAATAATATTGTTTTTTCTATACATCCAGATAATTCCTCAGACTCGATTGTGGACACTCACGCCCAACAGAGAGGAAATGTCTCCAGAACTTCGGCTTGCTTACAATAATAGCAGAAGAAGCATAGCAAAGTAAGTGTTTTGTCAGTATTCTTTGATGTCATGAACCATTTGGGCTACATTCACATTTGCATTGCTGAGTTAAAAAAAAGCTAAACACAGGCATGCAGGCATGAATGTAGCCTATAGTAGAACAGCTTTTATGCTTCCCAGATCACTTTTCCTGTGTTTAGATGGTTCTGCTTTAAAGGGTAACTCCACTTTTGTGAGAAAAAATATTGCAAATAAAAAAAAAAGTAATACTGCATATACAATTGCTATACAAGCCAAATTGTAATTGAATGTTAATAAAAAATACCTTTCACTTTCAATCTGGGACACTGTAAATTTCTGTAAAATTTATTGCAGTATGGCAAACTGGTGGCGTTTTGTATGGAACACCCCCATAAATGTCATTGCCTGCTTGTGTGATTAGCTCAATGATTTTCCTGCACAAAGTTAGATTTTAGGCATCCTCTGCAACAAAAAAATCATTTTTGGTGAGATACTCCCAAAGGATTATGTGCATCCATATTGATGCAGACCCTACATTTTCCTCATGCGCATGCGCATTTGCTGATTAATATAAAAAAAAAAACCTTCCTTTTAGTTTTTTTCTGCAGACAACAAACAGCTTTTTCCTCAGAGCAAAAACAGGCAGGACTCTTCAACAGAGTTTGTTAAAGCGCTTGCAATGTACTTTGATCACCCAGAGGTGATTGATCTCTTCTCAGCATTAGTAGAGTTACTCTTTCAAATAGATTTTGCCATGTTTACACAAGTTTAGCTGCATTTAGAGTTTTTAATTAGATACTGGATGTACAGAATTCCATTTTCTTTAAATCCAGCTAAATTGGCTGCATCTAAACAAAGGTAAATGGGGAGTTTGAATGACGCTATTGATTGCCTGCAATTATATTCTTTCAGAAATGTCACTGCCAGCATGACTGAGGTCTTTTGGCATCCTTAATAACTTTCTGTAGGTTTACAGTCATGGAGATACTGTATATTCAGTAGCTTATTGTTCCCCCATGGTAATAGAGACATTGTGAACATCTACACTACCAATAGACGTACACATCTGTAAGACATCAGTATGTATTTCTACTGTATATTCCTGACAATGGAAAGAATAATGATTCGGTCTGCTATGTTTTGCCATTCATTGGCTATAGTCATCATTTTGCTTTTTTCTTTTACATTTATTTCTTGTTTTTCTTTATTCATACAGGCCTCCCACTCCAAAACTAAATTCAGTCACCTTCACGAAGGATTCAGAGAGCACCTCAGCTTTTGGTCAGCCAGAACAAAAAGGTTCCCGTCAAGCTGTAAATCTTCTAACATTTCCATCTGAGAACTCTTCAATCGCTGCTTATGCACGTGTCAAGCAAGTAAAGGGTAGAAATCGAACCCCTAGCTCAGATCGCAAGTAGCTGGCATACCAACACATAAGAATAACAGACCTAAAACTAAAGTCTTTCTATCTGGGCCTACTCCCATATTGGGGTTGGTGTACTAAATGAGCAAATACTTTCTAAATGAGCAGAGGCTGTTCATTTAGCAATCTGAATGTTGGTAACTAAAGAGAACATGTGTTAATTTTTATGCTTTTGCAAGTGAATTTAAAAAAAAACAGGATTTTTTTTTACGCTCCTTGAAATTATCTTTGCAAAGTGAACATTAACTTACCTAACTGATCAGTCTATATTTCTTGAGAAGAACACAACCCTTTTGTCAGCTTAGCATTGTTCCTATGACACATGACTCACTTTGAGAATATAGTGCGATGTGCCCTATCCTATTATTTGTAAAGACGCGATGAGTGGAATTTATAAAAACTAGAGCAGCCAGAATCTGAAGCAGTAGTGCATGGCAACCAATCAGCTACTAGCTTTTCAAAGCTTAATTGAACAAGCTAGAATGTGATTGGTTGCCATGCACTGCTGCTCCAAATCACATCTGTTCCAGTTTTGATAGATTCCCCCCAATGTACTCTAAAATTATATTAAACATGCAGCTTAAAACCTTTTCATAAATTGCACATTAAGGTTGTTTGTATTTGGACACTAGTCCTGGCAAAGGGGTAAGTTGTCCCCTTTTTTTTTTCATACAATAGAGATTCAGCCTAAAGTGATTCTGTAGTCTTTTCATAATTTTGAACATCATAATGTAAATAATCGTAGCAATGTGTGTGTTATTTTTATATATATATATATATATCACAGTAATAGTGGCTCATTATCTGTACTTTCTGCTTAGTAGTACTACACACTGTGTTTTCGTATTTTATTATTTTTATAATTTTGAAGCAGCGAACATGATAGTGAGAACATTGCCATGGGCAATTAGAAGAAAGTTCCCAACACATCTGGTCAATATAGCCAATCTGGTGCCATGAGATCTTTTGTTGCAGTCATTTTTTGTCACGTATGTTTATGAATAATAAACTAGTGTTGAATTTACTTTTATAAACATGTCTCATTTTTTCTGCAAATCAGTTTTTAGCATTATTAGGTGGCAAAGAACAAAAACCATGTCTAATACTTGTTATGTCTGAAAATATCAAGAATGGATTAACATTTTAAAAGTAAAAAACTACAAAAGAGTACACGTAAGATAAATAACCTGTGACATACAGTATGGCAGCACAAAGATAGAATTATTCAACAACCTGAAAAAGTGTATCCTCCAGACACCTCCATATGCCTGGAATCCAAATATTGCAGAAGAAAGACATAGAAAGAAATAAGAGAAAATAAAAAAAATTAAAAAAAAAAGAGAGGGAGGGGGGAGAGGGCACGGGGAACATGTCTCATTTCTGCCTGCAAGTGTGATGTTAAATTCTGACTTTTGAATTTGAATGCAGTATGTAGTTCACAGAGAGGATTGAGCGCACAACGTCAGCCCCCTAGGCAGACATTTATTAACAATGAAGGGAAAATAGCTAGTATAAAGTTTCTTTGCATTCAGTGAAAAGCTCATTTGTTCATAGTGCTACCACTTCTGACTGTTGTGTCTGTTACAAAGATAAGTTCCTATCAGGCCAAATCCTTTAGGCCACTCCCTATCTATTATCACTTGATCCTGGCATGCAAAATACTGACTGGACAGATTTCCTGCTACATTGGACTATTTTTCTACCCTACTACTGGCAATAGACTGAATTTCTGTAAAAGGGTAACATAAAGTTTCAGATGCAATGAACAATAGTAGACTTAGCAATTTTTTTGATCTTGAAAACAATGTTTTAGCATATACATTAAAATGATTGTAAATGTTTTTTTTTTTTAATGACCAAACATGTACTTACCTGCTCTGTGCAATGGTTTTTGCACAGAACAGCCCCGATCCTCCTTTTTGGTGTCACTCGCCAGCACTCCTGGATCCCCCGTCCTGCTGAGTGCCCCATAGCAAGCGGCTTTTTATGTGGGCACTTGTGCAGGGTTGATTCCGAGCCGCAGTGTGTGTCTATGGCTCGGCTTCCCCCCCCACTGCTCTCTCCTCACTGACTATGATTGACAGCAGCCGGAACCAATGCCTCCATGTCCAGTGGGGTGAGAGAGAGAGTGGAGAGAGCCGCTGCTCTTGGGCACAGTGTTAGATCAAGATCAGGCTCAGGCAAGTAAGTATTTAGGGAGGCTGGGGGGGAGCTACACACAGAAGGATTTCTACCTTAACGCTGAGAATGTATTAAGGTGAAAATCCTTCTACCTTTTACAACCGCTTTAAGGCACTAATTAAAGATTAAAGTGCAGTAATCTACAGGAACAAGTCAGAACTCAGTTATTGAAGTCAAGTCACGTCAATGGAAGAGCTGGTGTGGGTGGACAAGCACTGGGATGGGGGGGATTACAAAAACTGGAGCACTCAGAATCTGGTGCAGCTGTGCATGGTAGTCAATCAGCTTCAGCTTGATCAATTATACTTTGACAATAAAACCTGGATTCTGACTGGTTTCTATGCAGTGCTGCACCAGATTTTGCATGTTCCAGTTTAGTGCATATAGCTTGTGTCTGAGATCAGCTTGAGATGCTTTAGAATTTAGTTTGGGTTCATTCACAAGTACATCTGACCTGGATTTGAATATAAACTGCAGCTGTGCTCCTTCTAAGCTGCTTTTACAGACTTGACTTGTATGGGGACAAAAACAGTTTTGATGTAAAAACCTGAAGGAACATTCTGGGGAAGGGTTTGCTTAAATTTGTGTGTCTCTAAACATATCCAAAGAACTCTGAATTCTTCTAGTTCTATATACAGCAACCAATACCCTTCAGAAGATCCTGTTTAACCTGACTTGCATAACCACTAGACTAAACAATGCATGTCAGGTGAGTACCTGTAAGATCTGCGCTATTGTTTCTATTGTGCAGCACTTTGATCCTTTAGTGTATACATTAGAAAGGGGCCTATAAATAACATCTGATATTTTTATAATCCAATTCTAGTGGTTTAGTGTTTCTAAATATTAGCAACATTTACACTGAATAAACTCAGCAGAAATCATGTTATGAGTTCCCAAAGAAGAGCAGTGCGTAGAGAGGTCTTATAGCTTAGTTAGAATTATGTTAGGATTGCTTGATGCAAACCTAAAGCTTAACTCCAGCCTCCCCCGCACCCCCAAAAAAAAATATTCCTGTCTTTTCAATGAATTGAGCAATGGCAGCACTGTGGATAGTTCTAATCTAAGATGACATTGGAACTTTGACATTGTTTCTGTTCAATGAAACATGGCTCCTAGACTGTATAACAGACATTTGTAGGTGTCCATACACTCATCAACTCATATTTAAAGTTTCCTATATTTCTTGAGAGTAATATTAAAATCAAATATACCATTGACAAGTTTTCAGAATGTTTCGTACTTGTCTGTTAATTCACCAGACTTATTTATATATATATATATAATATATATATATATATATTTGTGATATATTTAAATAAAACATATAATATATATATATATATATATATATATATATACTGTATATATATATAAAAATAAATCCGGTGAATTAACAGACAAGTACCGAATGTTTTTTTTCTATATACACTTTAAAAAGTTGCAATTTCTTTCCTTCTCCCCCTTCCTTTTCTTCCCATTCCTACTGTTCCCTACTTGAATTCTGTCTTTGTATATCTACTCTCATCCTTTCCTATTGAAGGAATATGTTTTCCCAGTCTTCTTCTAAAGTTTTATACTTACAGTTTCATTTCTACAGTTCTGACTGTAGACCTTTATGTTGATTTCTGTTGTTGCCATCTGACATCCTGTGACATCACTCCTCAAGATGTTTCCTGATATTGATGGCATATGCTCATTATATCCATTCATTTTGTAAAGCGCTGTGCAACCTGTTGGCGCTATATAAATCCTGTATAATAATAATATCCACTGTAGTGTGGGCACATTTATGGTCCATATAGTAAGGTCTTCTTATCTTACTGCGGTCTTTACTCATTGGAGTTGGTTTACTGAAGGTACATAGACTCTTGACATTGCTAGGGAATTTTTCCCAGAGCTTAATGAAGGAGGTAAAGCTCTGCTGATGTCTATTATCCAATCATATCTAAGCAAAAATACTGTTTTTTTTTCTTTTTTAATTTTCCTTGCTTGCGATTGGGTATTTTTTGCAAAGTGAAATTTCACCGCATTCGCTAAGCTAAGGGAAAATTCCCTTGCAAAGTGAACAGCCCATATGCCTTTAGTAAATCAAACCCACTGCATCTAGATTTGTATTGTTACCATGTGTAATGACTTTACTTAATTCTAATAAGTTCCTTAGGCCCACTTTAATTTTTTTCTTGATGTGCCTAAATCAAGAATAATAAAAATTAAACTACAGTTTAACACCTGCTCATTCAACATCACTTGCTCCTTTGAAACGTCCAGTGTCATATGAAAAGTCATACATATAGCAATATTAGGCAATCAGAGCAGTTTTATATCATACATAATGTAAAAAAAATACATCTCTGCAAATCTCTTTCAGGAGCCTATGGTTCCCTTCTTTATGAAGAAGTAAAACATAGCTTTCATCCCATGTGCATCACAGACATTCACCAGCCAAACTGAGGAGATTCTGATGGATTCCTGCTGTACTCTGCCAGTTTGAGAATGGATAGGTGTCTTAGTGACATGGAGAGGATTTAGTAAAACTGGTGCATTCAGAATCTGGTTCAGCAGTGCATGGTAGCCAATCAGCTGATTGGTTTTTATGCAGAGCTGCGCTAGATTTTGCACCATGTAGTTTTTTATTAAATAACCCTCATAATTACTTTCAGTACCCTTAGTGCCCACTCATCTGTGTGTACATGTTGCAGCATGCCTGGTAATGCATAAATAACTCTTTTACTTGAAATGCATTTTAGTGCAGTAAACTTCATGCATTCTACTGCAGGAAAATGGACAAGTGTGAATAGACTCTAAGGCTAA